CCATTAGCTGCAAAAACTGAGAACTGAAGCATGTTGTTGTCATGTTGTCTCCCTTTATGAGTACTAACTTGTAAACAGCTTTCTCTCTGTGTGTGTGTGTGTGTGTGTGTGTGTGTGTGTGTTTGTGTGTGTGTTTGTGTGTTGTGTGTGTTTGTGTGCCTGTCTATCTGTCTGTGTGCCTCTCTACTTTTCCATATTTGTGTTTCTGTGTCAGTTAAAATGACATACTGAAATTAACTGCTGAACGCTTCCTGATTAAAACTGGACTGAACCATAGTTCCAGTGAAACCAGTTGAGATGTTTGTAAATCATTGCAGAAATGTCAACAAAGTGGTTGATAAACACCAGAGATATCAGAGTAGTCTCTAATCAGATAATTTGACCCAGATTAGTGCCCCCTCCCTCAGCTCAGAGGTTGCCATGGTGACAATGCTGTCTCACTGGGTGCCCACCTGTCTTTCTCCTTCAAAAAGGTAGCACCTGGAAAACACTGGTTGAAGGTAATCCACCAATCAGAATGAACTCCAAAGGTAATCGACCAATCACAATGAGCTCCAAAGGTAATCCACCAATTACAATATACTGTATATAATGTGGAGTCAGTTAGATTTCAAACTGAAATTAACAGACAGATGTTTCCTGAATGAAACCTGTCTATCAGCCCGTCTGTCTGTCTACCTGTCTACTTTTCTATGTGTCCATTTGTGTGTGTGTGTGTGTGTGTGTGTGTGTGTGTGTGTGTGTGTGTGTGTGTGTAGGAGAGAGAGTCTGGCTGTTGAAGACACAGAGCTCATACAAATCTATGGGAGAAAGGGGTCAGCGAACCTCTCAAACTCCTGCCTTTTAATACATAACAGTACATAATATCAGCAAAATTATCACATGGTCAGCGCCACAAGACTCTCCTGAACACCTCTTTGTGGTTTTGGTGTTTCTAGAGCCAAAAATGTGGAAAAAGGAGCAAGTTACAAAGTGGGGTCAGTTCTGGTTTTCTCCTGAAATCTGCTCCTGAATTTGTAGTCTATAGGAGAGTTTGAGGGTTCTCGCATCACTTGGAGGGTCACTTTTCAAATTCTGTTAGTCTCTGTGCTAAAGTAGACACTTTGTATGAAACAGGGCAAATTTGTCTACTAATGAGGAAGAAATTATTTGTGAAGACCGAAATATGTGGCCGTAAGGACGAGTTACACAGATTTTTTTCAGAAAAATTTTGGAGCTTCTCCCACTCAGCGATTATGTCATCCCCTCTAGCCCTGAACATTATGTGCAATACACACCCATTATAAAGTTACAAATGTAATGCAAAAAGTATGAAACTAAAACTGTTATCATTTAAAAAATTGCCCAAGATATCAAAAAGTTATATACAAATTTAATAGCTGAAATTCTTGTAAACATTATAAAGTTTGAATGAAGTCTGTAGCTGAAAGTATGCTGAAGTATTTGAAGCTCAAAGAGGCTGAAGCGTTCAAGGATTTGAACATCATCTTCATTCATTTGAATGGCAAAACCTGTAGAAAAAGCTTAATATTTTAAAAAATATAAATAGTACAGAAAGGTTGTATATATCCGATAATCTACAAAACAAGCTGAACATTTTGAAAGTTGAACGGTTTCTGTACGAAAAAGTATGAATGAGTAGTTTGAGACCATGGAAGGGTGGAAGAAGTAAGAATAATAAAATATAAAGATTTGAAGAACAGTAGTGTGAATGCCTCAGCATTCAGCAGCGGACCTGACAACAACATATATTAGGATTGCTTTATTCAGCAATCCCACCAAAATTAAAAATAAAGAGAAACTGACAACAACAGAGAGTGGGAAGGCTTCATAGCAATCCCACCAATAATTAACGGAATGTTAGTTTCTTGGCCCGACAATGACAAATACTGGGATTGCTTCATTCAGTAATCCTACCAATAAAGATTTGTATAACAATAGTGTCAATGCTACAGCACAGGCACATAATAACAATATATGCCTTCAATGCTACTGCATTGCATCTATTAATATTCCATCGGGCTTATTATTATTCTTCCGCCAAATTTTGGCGCGTAACTCGTCCCGCAGCTTTGAGAAAACCCCGGTAATATATACATCAAAACGTGCGTCTTGATCCCGAAAGAGGTGCTATGACTTTTGGTGTTAAAATTCCAATTTTTCCCAAAGTTATTCCCAAAATACTGGGAATAAATAATGTATTAGGAATGCATTGGAATTTTCTTTAAAAAACCACAAAATTTCACCTTTTTTCTGAGTCACCCAGCTCTCTCATACCTGCACTAGAAATGTGATTCAAACTATAAAACGGAGGAAAACTTATGCTCTCTCCAAAACACAGCAACTGTTTTTACATAACATGTAAACTTTTTAAACTATGAGCACTCAAAGGAGGAGTGGAAATCACTTTTTCTTCAAAGTTAGAGTGACAGCCTCAGTTGGCTAGAGTGCGTGAAGCAGTAAAAAATAACCTTTATTTTTATTTTTAACTCGAGCTCACGGCCAAATCGTAAAAAGGAGACAAATAATTCTTTCTGAAAATGTAGACATAGTTGTTGGGATACATAAAATGTTACTTTGACAGGCAGGGTCTGCACAAAATTTAAACGGGGGTGCCGAGTCCGGCAGCAATACCTGTCTCACTCTCATTGACTCCTAATGTAATCGTCTTTTTTTTTCAAAAGAATCTCGCTCTGTCTTCGCACTGAGCTTACTCACTCATTTTAAGGAATATCTGAATAAAATAGAGACTGTAAGAAACTTCTGGCTTCAGTGTCTGTCACGGTGTTTTCGGTTTTTGAAAAGAAGTAACGGTTTTCTCATAATTTGCAATTGTTTTAAGCCATGTAGAAGCCAAATTCTGGGCAGATTTTCACATTGCCATGGCAACGGCAGCTCCTGACCTGTGTGCGTGTGTGCGTGCCTAGCAACCAGATAACCAACTCTCCAAGCTCCGCTAGCTTTACATTAGCCGCATGTTAGGTCTTAAATTACATTTAGTTAGGTCTTAAATATGTAAGTCCATTTACTGCTTCCTTTGTTGCTTTTCTTTTTGTTTTGTTAAATGAGTGAATGAAGTTGTGACGGTCTCCGCTGAGACAGAGGAGAGGAGAAGCTACTAGCCCTCTCTCGCTGTCACTTCTAGTCGCGTTGCTCTCCTCCCCAGTAATGTTAAATTTAGCACCGAAAAAAACATAATAGTGGTAATTTAAATAGCGGTTCATGGGATTTATTAACCCTCAGGGGTCCCTCTGTCCTTTTTTGGACATTTTCTTCACTTTTCTTTTTTGATTTGCTGATCATTTTGGCTGTGTTACAGCTGAAGGTATGGATTTCTGCAAGAAAGTGTCTTTTTTGACATATTTTTTAAAATCTAATGTCAGTTACTGTTACAGGTCTATTATACACTGGTAACACATTTTGTACCCTCTGGGGTTCCTCGCGTCCAAAAAAGGACACACAAAGAAAATGCTATAAAATAATATAAATATATACAGTATATCAATATTTTTTTCTGCTTTTTTGCATACATCTCTTAAACCACTTCAGTTCTGCTCAAACCTACCAAATGTTTATTAGTTTTCAGGATTTTAACCCTTTAAATGCCAGTTTGAAGACATGTTGCCTCTTGTTTTATTAAAAAAAACAACACAGAATATGAGATATTTCCCACATAATACATGATGGAGGGATGTGACATTGTTTTATATCAGAGTCTTTTATATCAAGACATTTCTCAAAACCAGAATATGATCAGGGTGACTTTTGAACACTGGAAATAAATCATGTACTCATCCCGGCAGTAGCCCCCGTGGCACTAAAAATTTCCCTGGAATATTCTAGTTATTATTATTATCAACAATGAGCTAATGGACACATGAATTTCCCCCTGGGGATAAATTAAGTATCTATCTATCTATCTATCTATCTATCTATTATGGTCATATTCTGGGCTGTTCTGGTGCTGCTGAATTACATCTACAATGTTGTTCCTGTAAAGTGCTGTTGGCTGTGAAACATTCATCAGATCTCAGCTCCTATGGTGAAATTTAAGGATGACAGAGATTTTCTGTAATTGACACTGCAGCTAATAAACACTGCAACATCCTAACTTGCATTCACAATGATGTGACTGTAAGTCAGGATGTTGCAGTGTTTATAAGGTTGCAGTGTTTATAGGGCTCATAACAGCAACATCCAGGTGAGAAAAAAACTATCCAAAAGTAAAATGCCAATAGGATTATAGCTTCACTACTTTTTACTTTTAACACTGAATCATGCCTGCTTTAGTTTAAAGGTTACCCTGCAGGGGATCCACAGACTCAAGAAAGACAACAAAATATTTTTTAAATATTAATTTAATTTAAATATCAAAACAAAATAAAATATTCCATAGCCATGCACTCCGTTTTCAGAGCAGACCTTTTGACATGTGGAATTCATAACATTAATGACGGGTTTATTGCTTTTAGGTGAACCTCTTCCAGGGCTCTGGTCTTACAAGGTCACTTAATGGAATGGGATCATTATTATTTACACCTGTATTTTACCTGCTTTGATAAATCAATATGTCTGCTGTGAAGAGGGTCTATGTTAACCACCCCCCCACGCCAAAAAAAACATTCAGAGGTCATCAATGAAGCTTGGTTTGTCAAATTCATTTTCTGAGGAAAAGTACCTGGAACTATTTTTGGTCGAAAAGCGGCTTCTGTGTCAGTCTGTATCAGTCTGTGTCAGTCTGTGTCTGTCAGTCTGCGTCAGTTTGTCGGTCTGTAGTAGTCTGTGTCTGTATCATTCTGTGTCAGTCAGTCTGCATCAGTCTGTCTGCACCAGTCAGTCTGTATCAGTCTGTGTCTGTCAGTCTGTATCATTCTGTGTCAGTCAGTCTGCATCAGTCTGTGTCAGTCTGTCTGCACCAGTCAGTCTGTATCAGTCTGTGTCAGTCTCTATCAGTCTGTTTCAGTCAGTCTGTATCAGTCTGTGTCAGTCTGTCTGCACCAGTCAGTCTGTATCAGTCTGTGTCAGTCTCCATCAGTCTGTGTCAGTCATTCTGTATCAGTCTATATCAGTCTGTGTGCTCCTCTGCACAGTGTGGTCACTCCGCTGGTCATTTCGTTTTCATTTTGACTTGCAGTTTATCTATAAGTTCTACCAACTCTGTGAAGTAGCTGTTCTCCTCTCCCAGAATCATCTCAGACTGGACCATGTGTTGGTACTGGTCTCGGAGAGACAGCAGAGAGTCCATCAGAGAGCTGTCTGAGCGGTACTGGTCCAAACACATCGGAGCCATCGCCAACAGAGCCCGAAGAGCCTGAGAGAAAAACGTTCTTAAAGGTTCTTATAGGTGAATACTGTTCCTGTAGCACTACGGCTGATTATAACCTGTTAATTATCAACATTTTTTTTACCTTCTCTCTGTAGTCATGCTCAGTGGACTCCAGCAGCTGTGGGACCAGACTGCACCAGCCCTTCTCCAGCAGCTCCCCATCCAGGGACACCTTAGAGTACTGCCGCACACGCTCGTCATGAGCAGCATCCAGGACCAGGTCCAAACCTGCTTGGGAGATCAGCTCCTAGTGGAACAGACCAGACCAGCCTCCCCATCACCAACAAATCAGAGTCAGAGTTCTCATCCTGGACAAACTTCACACATAGGTTGTTGTTGTACCTTCTCACTGATTATGTCATACAACATGGTGACAATGCGCAGTCGCAGAACTCCGTCTCCATCTGCCCTGAACAGCTCTGATAGGACCTGAAGTCCCCCATGTGACAGGAAGTTGTGTTGTGCATAGGGGAAGTGACGTAAGAGGGAGGCCACAGCAAACAGGACCTGAGAAGAGGACAGTCACAGAGGACGTTAAAGCTCAGGTGAGTGTGTTTCACCTGGATATGTCGCTGTGATGTCAGAGGGTGTCAGTACCTTCTTCTTCACTCTGAGTGGCTGAGCAATGGCCAGCACGGTCAACAGTGTCTGCAGAGCACCACTCTCCACAGCTTTCACTTGGACCACTGGGTTACTACAGGACAAACAGCTGTTAGACAGCTGACAAACAGCTGGACACAAACACAGACACCAGCTCAGATCTGATATCAGGGGACACAGAGACCTAAGAACAGGGCTGCAATTATAAAGTCTTACATCCCTATAATCACTCTTTTGGTTGGTATTTGCATATAAATAGGACAAGATGAGGAGACTGACAGAAAAAGAAGAAGAGAAGGTGATTGAGATGAGAGAGGAAGAGGAGGTACTGCCCACTGTGCCCAGGAAAGGATTAGCATTATGCCCCTGTGCTAGGCAACACAAACAAAAACTGAATGACCTGATCACATTCAAACAATGTAGGCCTAATTACCCCTAATGCCCCCAACCCAGCTAGCAAGCGCAGTTTTGGTCCTCAGTATTTCTAAAATCCTTGGTCAGCCATGGCAGCAGCATTTAGGCAGGCTGATTTGCTCCATCTACAGTCCAGGCAGAGAGGGCAGCCACCTGCAGGAGTGAGTTACTACAGCATTTTAAACTCACACAGAGGTGTAGGTTTGGTTTCAGACAATGAAGAATAAAATTTAATGAAATCACTAATTTCTTGAAGTGTGTTATTGTGTTCTCCATATTAAATGTAGTATAAAAAAACTTTTATAAACATCTGTGCTATAACCCTTCTTAAAACTGCCAGGCAGTTTACAAAGCACTGACAGCTCCACTTTTTGTTGCTCGTTAAGCCTGATACTAATTGAAGGCGTCTCAGATGAGTGTCTCAATACTCGCATGTTCTCTCATGTGGACTGAGGTAAAAGGACAGTGAGAGATCAATCAGCCTAAAACTACACAAGTGTGCAGCTGTGATGGAGACGTGTGATGTTGAGCTCTTCAGTCAAACAGTAGCTGAACACTGTGAAGAGTGTTTGTACCTGGATAAAGCAGATCCCAGAACAAAGGCAGAGTTCTCCTGTAGTCTCAAGTCAGAGCTGTTCAGACCCTCTAGAATCACTTGGAGACCCCCCATGGAGCAGAGAGTCTGAGCATTGTCCACCTAACACACACACACACGCACGCACGCACGCACGCACGCACGCACACACACACACACACAGAATCTGCAGGTGAAACTGTTTGTCAATGGGTGTGTGTGTGTGGTGTGTGTTGTGTTACCTGGTGCACCAGGTACTCCAGCTCTAGCAGGATGTTCATTCTCTGCTCTGCAGTTGAGTTGCTGCTGTTGAACTGTTCAAGCAGACGCCTCATTATCTGCACAACACCACAAACTTCATTCACGAGGGGCTATGTGAGGTATCTATAGTGAGTGTATTACCTGCAGCAGATTCAGATCAGTGCTCTCACAGCACCAGCTGAGTGATGAGCTGCTGTGGGCGGGGTCCCCAAAAATCTTCAGTCACTTTACAAAAATACCCAAAGAAAAATCCAATATCAGTAGAAGTTATCACTTTATTTTGAATATTTTCACCAGTTTATCTTCAGTAAAACAGCCCTTTAGTTTGGCACTACCTGGAGCTACTGCTTTGATAGAAGGTGAAGCAGTGAAAATATTCTAAATCAAGTCTGCACTAAAACTGATATTGAATTTTTAGTTCTGTATTTTTTAAGTGGCTGAAACATGTTTTTCTGTGACACTGTCCACAGCAGCTGATCACTCACCTCCTGTTGCTTATCTAAAATGAATCTACTGCAGGTAAAACACTGAGTATGTATAAGAACTTCACACAGCCCCAAGTCAGATAACACCAACATCACAGACAGACAGCTGCTCCATGGTCACTGTGATGAGGTAAAGCTTCCACCTGCACTACAGGAAGCTGGATTTAATGCACAGATGAAAACCATTATCTAGGCTCATTTCTGAAAGTACGCTGATATTAAAATAAATTCTCTTTCCAGACATGTCTTAAACTCTGTAAAAAATCCTCTGCTATGATTCATATTTAGTTTAATATGGGTTCACATTAAAAACTGGGTCTGAAGCTCATCTACTCTTACTTCCTGGTTTTGAAATCTGGATCAGATCTTATGCCCCGCCCACCACCTGCTTGCTCTAGGTGGGCAAGTGAAAGAGCAGAGAGTATCAAGATGGTTAGAGGAGGAAACATCAGAGAGACTCAGCCAAATGTTTGAGCCTCAGTCAGACCCAGACTCAGATGAGGAGTCTGTTGAGACCAGAACCAGAGACTAGCGGACGTATCAGAACGGTGAGCGTAGTTAGCATCTTTTATTTGTTTATGTTGTTTTTTAGCTTGTAACTGGCAGGGCCTGACACAGTGTTAGTGGTTTTGCTAATGCAAACTCTCTCTCTCAAACTCTCATGGTCAAAGCAAAGCAACTCATGAATGCTGATGCATATAAAGGACCTTGTTGGTTAGAAGAGAGTAATTGTACATCAGGCTTGAATTTACAATTACTATAATACCTTGTTTTATTAACAGTCATCACACACGGATGAACACAGATATCAGTATCTGTCATAAATTAATATCAGCTGATTGGTCAAGGTCTGTGTGATTCATTGTGGACAGACACTGAAATACTAACTGACTCATCAATAACTGAGACTGAACACTGATGATGTACCTGAACATCCGTCTCCAAAAGCAGGTCCAACTGAGCCATGTCCCTCTTCAACTCCTCTAAGGGGCGGTACATAGACACCTGTAGACACACACGCACACGCGCACACACACACACACACACACACACACACACACACACTTCAGTTTAAGTGCGATGTGCTGTGTTAGTTTGTGTGTTTGGTCAGAGCTGGAATCATCAGTCTTGTGTTGATACCTGCTGGTCTGGGTCTTTGCTCACTGGGTTCAGGTCTTCCTTGATCTTCTTCATGGCCTGTTTCAGTTCATCAGGACTGAAGAAGGACCCGGTCTCTTTTGTGTCCCTGGGAGAGACAGACTCACTGATGATATCATGTTCTCCTGACACCTGGTACACAGTGATAACAGTGTGAAGATCAGGGTCACTGCTGTGTCGTACCTTTGGTGCTCCTGGGTCCAGTATTTGAGCTGCTCCTCTCCAAGTCTGACCTCCCTCTGACCTGTCTGCAGATTCAGCCTCACATGAGAACCTGCTGGGACTGCCTGGCCTACACACACACACACACACACACACACACACACACACACACACACACACACACACACACACACACACACACACGTCAGTCTAAAATTGATTCAAATTTGACTGTAACACAGTGTCTGTACAGGATCCACTACAATACCTGGTTTGAGTGATTGCCACTGCTCAGTAGGTTGGACCACCTTTAGATTTACCTCCTTCTCCTTCTCCTCTTCTTCATCACCTCCTCTTCCCTCTGTATTCTCCACCACAGTTAGGGCAGAGACAGACTGCAGAAAAACAATAACAAAAATCATTGTATCTTTGGTGAACTGTTTCATTTTACAATGAAAGGTTGATTTCCTTTCATAAAACCAGATTTATCATGTGTGTCTGTGTATTAGTGTTTGAGACATAGGTGTGTTTTAATTCCCAGCACTGGTCTCAGATCAGTACAGAGGACAGAGGAATTCCTCCTCAGTGTCTCTCTGCCACATCATCCTGTTACATTACTGTCAGAGACAGGACATTAAAGACACATGAAGGCATCAGTTTTACCTCACTTGCCTCACAAGAGATTAAGTTCTAACATGCAGTGGGGTCCAAGAGTCTAAGACCACTTGACTCTTGGACCCCACTGTATGGCTTTCCTCTCACAGATGCTTATACAAGATAAGAAATAAGACACTGTCATTGTGGGCAAACAACCAAATGATGTTTATCTGTGACAGGATACAGAGCAAGATAAAAGATAAACAGCAATAGTGAGTAAAAACCATAAAGAAGTACTGCACAACAGTTGTAATACAGCTAATGCATCTTCCTGTCTTTGAACGGATTTCAACATAAAGTCCCAAAGTGGCGGAGATAACCAGACAAAATTTGTTTGTATTCTATGATGAAAATACAAATGCAGGTTTACAAAACACTTCATGCCATCATGCCAAATAGGGCAGAAAATTAAATATATTTAGAATAATTTCAAAACAACAATCAAGTCTGGATGGCCGCACTACGTGATATTTTACATAACATAATAGTAGAAAAATTACAAATAACTAAAGTTTTTAAAAAGTTAAAGTGAGGACATATATAGGAGAATTACTACATATACAGTATATGGCATCTTTTTGTGAATTTAAACCTTTTTTTAAACTGAAAAATTGGCTCTGGAGAAGAAGCTCTCTCAGTCTGTTGATTGGGGCTTTGATGGTTCTGGATCTCTTTCCTGACTACAAAGGGACAAACAGACTGTGACCTGGGTGTGACGTGTCTCTGCTGATGTTGAAAGCTTTAGGTGGGTAGTATGCACAGTGATCAGGCTTGGGAGCCTATTTCTCACAATCCTCTGTGCCATTTTCACCACCTGGACCAAGTCCTTCTGCAGCTGACACAGCATACTGTGGTACAGTGGCAGAGAATAAGCTTGGAGGGGGGTTTGGCCTGTTCAGATCACCTGTTACCTGTGATACACTCCCTGCAGAGATGAAGCTTTTAGCTTACAGGAATCAACACACCTTTTCAATGGTGAGGCATGATTCTCATCACTGAGGTTTATTAAGAATGTCAGGCATTTAAAGTATAACCCAGTTTAACTCACCTTCTGACCATGAATCCTGTTAGTTTGATGGCAATGCAAGACCAGGAGAAGAGCCAAGCAGCTGAAGCAGCTGAATGAAGTTCCTCTACCACAGCTGGAGATCATCATCATGGAGACTGAAACACAGGAGGACACATTGACACCTCAGTATTACTGTCCTCTGTCCTACACACAGCAACACCTGGACCTTTTGCAGACAGGGTGATCCAGCACACCAGTCTCCATTCACAAATCTGATGTTTTAACTCTTCCTTATCTCACTACTCAACACCATATGTTAGCACTGGCTCCTTCAGATTGATCACCACTTTGATCAACAGTTACCATGTTTTCATAAAAGTCGAGATTTTGAACGGAGTTTGGTGTGTGTGTGGTCACCGACTGTCAGATGAGCTGCTCAGTGATAGTGACGACACAGCTTTACATACTATGAACCAAGCGCTACACAACAGCTAGGATGATCTTCATGTGACGGCAGCTGACATTATGACGTCAGCGAACAGAGACGTTTCACACAAACTTGCCTGTTTCAGTGGAATCAGGAGCTGAATCGCAGCCAGATGTCAAGTCGTCACAAACAAACTGACGGTTCCCGTACACCAGGAGCTTTTTATACCCAAAAGGCTTCCGTCACTGCGCACTCGACTCTCATCATACAGCCGTCATTCTTTCTGACGTGTTCCATTCAATAGCAGCATTTCTCAATACTGCCGCCTGCTGGTGTGGAGACATATAAGCTTGTTTTATTTGTATGGCCTCCCCTAAGAGCAAAAGTGTATCAGAGACAGTACAGAAACCGAGACCGTTTATTTCCTGTATCTGTGTCACGTGGGTTTCTCCACCTCCCCGCCCCTTTAGGAGACCGGAAGCAGGTCTGATGGTATTCATTCCAATGAGGAAAGTGAACGACATCACAGATTATCACAGATTCTTTTCGCTCCATAGTCACCTAAATAAATAATGGACCCAGTTTTCAAAAGCCACAGGTCTTCAGAACATTCTGACATCAAAGTGTCATTTTTCAGACTAACAGATCCGGAGAAAATTAACTTCATTGGAGACCTGCCTCTGTCTCAGTGCCAAACTCTGGCAAGATCTGTCAACTACCGACATCGTTTGCCAACCGATAACAAGATGTTTAGATGGACCACAGTTATTTTTGGATTGACTTACTTATTCGTCAAACCATGGATTAAACTTCTGAAACCTAAATAAAACTTGTTTCATTGCTTAACAATTGCTAAAACAGATTATTAGCCTATTAAATTGACATGACTTTGAACTGGGCTGATCAGATGTTGTTAGTAGATTTAAAAAAAAAACAGCGGCAAAAAAGGCGCAAATTTGTACTGTATCCGTGTTAGGTCGTCTATTGCTGTATTCTTTTGGCAGGGACAAGTAATCCATAAATTAGGGTTAAAATGCCGGAGCTTTGTGCGGCAATAGGCTGTAATAACAAGAAAAACAGATCTGTCTTCTTTTCCAAAGGATGCAGAATTTTATTTCTGTTTTATTGAGAACCATTATTCTGCCCTGGCAGTACGACGTCAGCTTTGTACAGCTAGACAGATAGTTAACAGCAATGAAGAAGGGAAACTCCAGAAGTCTTGTTGAGGATTGATGTTTTATCTTTTGTTCTCTTTTCTTCCTCAGTTTTATTTCTTAAGTTTTTCTCCATTAGTTCTGTAGACTGAAATAAACAGAAAATAAACATTACAAAAGTGTAACGTCTGTAATGTCTTTTACACCATAAAATATGAAGTTACACATTTACACAATAAACTACAGATACTCTTAATGTATAGAAATGAAATAAACATCTGCAGTATAATCAAACTCACTGCTACACCGTTATCAGCATGAATCAACAAATCCACTGACTAATCAGTCTGAGGCGTAGCGCCGAGTCCCCCTGCTGGGCAGGTTAAATATTACGTCGGTAAAAAAACAGGAATTTACCGCGAGTGTAACTAGTGAAAACCGATAGTTACAAACGTAATAAAATGCACTATTAAAGTAAACATGTACATCACACAGTAAACACAAAGCTGACGTGTAATTACTTACAGACAAAGATTTACCCAAGCTCTGTTTTGAAGCAGTCTCTTGTGTGATTTGTTGTTGCTCGGCTCGGTCCGTCACTGAAACGGGTCCGACTAGGAACTATGACTAAACGCCGAAGGGCGGAACAACCATAGACTTGAGAATAAAAAACAATCTCAAGTAAAAACTTAACTGAACAACTTGCACTTGTATTGGAGTCATATTTGATCAGGAGAATCTATACTCTGACACAAGTTATGGTACAGTGTATTTTTTCCAACTCTGTAAAGGAGGATGTGAAGTTCGTACAATACAAACGTAGAGCAAGTTATGTGTGTCAGTGAAGCCCTCAGCCAATCAGGATAAACTACTGTCGTCACAGAGGTGGTTCTCAGTCGGTGAAGCCGATAGAGAGAGCATCAAAGCTGAAGGCGCCTTGCTCCCGCTAGGTTTTTATATCATGTGACATAGTGAAGTTGCGCAGCGCCGGCGAAAGTTGGACAAAATTTCTTTCCAGCATGCAATGTGTTAAGTCCAGCATGCATCACATCAAGTCGGCGATGCGCAGCGCCACATAAAATCGAACGCACCTATTGAGTGCGAGATGATGCACTCATCACGTTACCTTGATGATGCCAAATCATCTGAATTCAATTTGGGCTTCGGACTTTTGCTTGTACATTTTTATTATCTCCCTTCACTTCCTGTTTGTAAACAGAAAAAATAATGTGGGATCAGATCTGATCCAAATTGCATATTTGGAATTCATCATGTCATCATAGGACAAATAATTCCACTGGTTCTGAATCTCAGTGAGCTCTGTGTTTATACTGTCATATAGGCCTACTGTCTTTTTTCTTGTAATGCTAACATTAGGGTTCGTTCTTTTCATGCATGTTTGTTAACCGTCCTTTTTCTATCTTATTATTTCTTGCGTTTTATGGCGGTTGTTTGCCGTTTTTACGCTTCCGGGCATCCCATGGTGCTTTGTTCATTATTGTGCATGAAATTAACTGTATCATATTTTGAAAACTTTAACATACTCCGCTTTATTTTTGTCTCCTAGCAGGTAAACATGTGGCCCTACTTCCTTACACGAACCTTATCTCTGGACTCTTGACCAACCGCTACAGACACCCTTTGGTACAATCTGGTATTACACCTAATCATGACACATGGCAACCTCGTGTTTAATGCTAATGTCACAATGCTATGAACTTTGGGTAATTCCCTCAGGCAGTCTGCAGAAATGCACTTACAGAAAGTGTGCATAAAGGTCTCAAAATGTCTGTTGGGGAGCTCTCATGCCCTTGATGGTTTGACAGGTTTGACCTTTTGGTCATAAAATGTCAATTGTGTATGAATTCTGTTATGGTTAAAAACATGTTTTGTGAGGTCACAGTGACCTTTGACCTTTGACCACCAAATTCTACTCACTTAATACTTGAGTCCAATTGAACTTTTAGTTTCTCAAGGCGTTCCTGAGATGTTGTCTTCACAAGGAATAGATGGACAAAATCATTTGATTCAATATCAAGCAGCTAAAGTTACATCCTTTTTTACAAAACAGTTGAGATGACACTATTGTTGCCAAAGTAACTCATTAATATTCATACATTTTAAGAAACTGGACAGACTGTTGCAAATATTTTAATTGTGTAAGATTTAATAATACAGTGAACTGAACAGAGATGTACAAGTCAGTATGTAAATGAAAAAGACTATCAGGTTATAGCAGCACATATACATATAGAGCATAAACTGTGTTCCAGATAAGGCCTACTGTTGAGCACACTGGTTCTCCATACTGCTGTTAGAGCTGACATGGATCATCTCCACTGCTCTTGGTTTCCTCACTCCCTCCTCTCGTTTATTCTGCTGCTGGTTCTCCTCCTGGTTCTGCTGCTGGTTCTCCTCTATCGTCTTCTCTATACAGTCAGTCACAGGAGAGCTTCAGGGGACCAACACACAAATATCCAGTTTTATTCAACATTATGTCTCAATTCTGCCAAGTGATTTTATATCAGTTCAACTCTTCAATTCTATAGAAATATTAGTCAGCTACACTGTAATGATTTGACTTTATTGTCAACATAAACTGTTGTAATCAAATCTTTCAGTCATGTGTTTTTAGTATTTGTCAAACTGCTGGTTTATTAGGTGTCCTGAGCTCTTGACTATGAAACAGGTTCATCATATCCAGGATCTAGCTTCACTGAACCTAACCTCATCCTTCCCGATAACCTGTTCTATCAAGCTGGTTATCACCTGGTTCAGTTAACCCTGGATTTACCTGTCCAGCTCTGACTGTGTTCATGAGAAAGAGGAAGAGTTGTTAATTATAAGCCATGAATGAAGTATTAATATGATATGAGAAGAAAGGTAAATCCAAATTCAACAAGTGAAATCTAAACAAACTAGAATAGAAACCTGATCCGGAGCAGGGGGTATTCCATCAGCGTCGCTCAGGAAATCTGCACTTACTTGAAAAAGCCCGGCTAGAATTAACATCAACTTTCACTTCACTCAATCCATTCCATTTACAGTTTAGCCGAGCCCAGTCAACGTTAACTGAAAACAGGGTTGAAAAGCTACATTAAGCGCCCGCACGGACTGTACAAGCAGCCCAGAACAGTCGATTGTCGAAAAGAAGAGCCGTCTTCTTCTCAGCAGCGGAGCAGATCCTGCATTACGGTTACCACCTGTACGTATAATACGTAAATAATGTAATGTCAAGTAAAACCCAACCAGTTATAACTACAGGTGGACTGGAGAAGTTTATCAGTGAGCAGTAACTGACAACCTCTGTGTGAGAAAATACACATATGCGCACCTTCAGGTGAAGACAGGAGTAGGCTACAGAGCGCATATCATCAGTTTACACAAAACTCCAGTTGCACAGGTTCCAGTCCAACCTGTGGCCCTTCCTGCATGTCATCCTCTCTGTCCCTGTGGCTATCAGAATAAAGGCAATGAATGTTTAATTAATTGTACATTGCAAACTGCAGCCTTTATTTTATGTAAATTTATGTTAGGCTAATTAATCAATGTAGGTAAGTAGGCAATAATCAGCAGATTGATCATGCTAATATTCTACTCATTCACTTACATTTGGGGCTGAAGGTTAAGATAGTTATTTATTGTATAATTCATAAATATGATTGACAGCCTACATTATTAATATGACAATGCACAGTTTAAAACCTCTACATAAATAAAAATGTCAATCTGTCCTGTAGAATTCATAAACATACAGCTACACATTTAAAGAAAACATGTTTTTTCCAGCTGAGGAAAAAAGTATCAAACTCTCCTTTTGTATTTAAGAGACAAATCTAATGTAAATCTAATGACTCCTTTGCTTTTCTGGTGACAGCTGCAAGGTTGACCTATCAATCACGCTGTTGACTAACCCTAGTTTCCGAACACAGACATGAAAAAAGTGATGCAGGCACAAAAAGACACGATGGAACTGTCTTTTGGGATTCTGTTTACGGCTATTGGAAATTCATTGAAACACAGCTATGTTAAGCTTGACAGTTAGCCTGCTAGGGAGCAGGCTAGTTCAGCAGTATCAGTTACCATGGTAACTGAACAAGGAATCCTATAAGCCACAGTAATGGAAACAGAACTCTGACTTACATTAGACTCAACAAAATAAGCCAGGATTTTACTTTATCTGTCTTGATGGAATAGGGCCCAGGTTAGGAGTTCACCATCAGTTACCATGGTAATTTACCCCGGTAACAAGTCAACCACCATCATAGGACTGAAAACCCAGAGTTAAACCTGAAGTTACTTCACTAAACTCAAATGCTGCTTCGAATCACAAGCTAGTTATTTGTGCCTTATACAGTAACATCCAGGAGGGAACATGACAAAGAGAAACAGATGTTAAAAAGAATATAAACATTTACATTTATAGTAGGGGTGGGCGATATGGCAAAAATATCATATCACGATTTTTTAAAAATAAAATCACGATTTCGATTTTATCACGATCTTAAATTGGAAAAAGAAAAACACAATTTAGACCAAAGAACCTTTCTCAACAGATTTTATTTCAAATAGTCGCAGTTTTGCCTGCATGTGCAAACAACGTAAAGTTTAAGGTAAACAACAACATCATTCTGGTTCGTTGTGTTACCAACCGACGTGCGAACGGTTTCTGTGCAAACTTTGCAAATTACATTTGCTTGCGCTTGATCAGTTGCGGAAAATCCAAACCAATTCCATATAATGGAGGTGGATTTTTTTTTAGCGACCAACTCCGTTTGGCTTTCAGCCATCACTCTCCATGTGCTACCGCTACACACACAAACAAGGAGGCGGGTAGGAAAGTGCGTCACTGCCCGTAATCCGCTATGATTGGTCGCTCAGGTTGACGACGTCAATACGTCTGGTGCGTCGGTGCATCAGCATAGAACTGCAATTTATAGAATGTGCCCTAGATGATCCCACGATCTCTGCAGTTTGAAAGATCGTCTTCACGTTGTAATCCTTCACGATCTAATATCGTCATATCGCCCACCCCTAATTTTATAGTTAAAATTCCCAGAGACACCAGCTGTTGTGACTTCTGGTACCACGGTAACACATTTGTGTCTGTGCCAACATTAGTTTACCAGTTCAACCCCTGATGTCTTTAACAACTGTAACATATTATATATATTGTGTACAACATATATTATAATATATTTCATTTCTGATGTTACTGAATGTTTCCTATTTGTGTTGATCAAATGAAGAGTGCTCAGTGTTGCAGACAGCTCCATCACAACAGAGCATCAGGAGTCATCAGTTCATACACAGATCTCTGTACTGTAGCTGTCTCAGACTGAAGTGAAGAGGAGTGGACTCACTGGATCAAGCCTGACAGTGAACTAGGCTGCAGACAGGTAATGGATAAACTACTGACAGGACACACACTGTACATACACTGTACACACATGAACACACACACACGCACACACACACACACTGACCTGGGGTTGGGAATTACAACAGGCTCATCTCCACTGATCTTCACACACTTTGCTGGCCGTGGCTCAGTCGGCTCTGAACCTGAGGACGTGACAAAATTATTAGTGATGTCATCACATCAGTGAGGTCAGGCCTTTGCTTTGTCCTGCTTGCTGCGAACCTTGTGTGGAGCTCAGTGCCTTTACTGTAGAACAGGTGTCAGTCTCGGGGCCTGCAGTCTGATTATGTGTGACACCCATCTCCATGGTAACTGCCTTGTTAGGAGTGGTGTCGTCAGAGGGTATGATGTCCACAGGAAGTTTCTCTTTCTTTCTCTTCTGGATCACATTCTTTTTCACCTCTACAGATAAAATGACATCATAGTCACACTTTAACATTTTACATTTCACAGATTACTGTCATCTTCCTTTGAGGCACATGTGGGTCTGGTGTTATTCTACTGACCTCTGGGTTCATATTTGTGTTGGAGCTCCTCTACTCGTAGCTGTAGTTTGATCTTGTCACTCTGAGCCTGAAATATACAGAGAAAAAGTTCAACAAACATCACAGTAAACAGCAGCAGGAGCGAGTGTGTCAGACAGGCAGCAGACTGGTGGAGTAGTTGCTTGTTTTCATGTTTGCAGATGGACAGCAGTATTTGCAGTTACTACTTGTGAATTCAGTTTGTTCTATAGTCAACATCCTGTTGTTGTGACAGCTGCATTCTACTTGACCAACAGACACAGTGTTTTAAACCAACAGACAGTAGTTCAGGGGAGACATGACAGTCACCTGTTTGAGCAGCCGTTCAGATGAGAAGAGTTTCCTCTCCAGCTCCAGAGCTCTCTGACTCTCTGACAAAGACTTCATCCTCTGTAGGGAAAGCTCGTCTCCTAGACGCTCTGCGTCCTTACTGAGGACACACACGCACGCACGTACGTACGTACATACGCACGCACATGCACACACGATTTCAGTGAACTAGAGCCCATACATACAGATAAAGACTAATCAAAGACAGACCCCTTTGAGCTGTAAGTGTTTTTTAACCCACCAATTATTTAAATTTTTTACAAATATGACGATTAAGTTTTTGTGAACCAAAGTAGCAATTAGTTTCTGTTGCTAAGCTACAGCTGACACTGGTCAGTGAGGCATCACCTATATGGAAGCATGTGACTGACAGAGTTACTGTCTGCTTAGTTTGTATGATGAGAATACAAGTGGCTCTCTCACACAGGTTTATTCCAGTTCCATGAAGTTTTGTGTCAAGTCACCGCTCTGTGTCTCTGACAGTAAAACTCAGATGAGCAGACTGAAAGGGTCTGAAAAGCTTCCAGTGTTTTTGCGCCACATTACAGGTAAACAACAGCTAACAAGACCAAGCAGTGTTTGATGAGTCAGACTCACACAGTGTTGTTGAGCTTCATCTTGAGCAGGTCAGTGTAGTAGGTTTCATCTTGGCCATCATTGCTCTCTGCTGGAGCTGGATTAGCTGGCTGAGACTTCAATATCTATACACACACATACACACATTCAGTATCTTACTTTAAATATTAGTTGTTGATAATATGAAACATGGCTGTAAGTTAAAGGTGAAGTAAGTGATTCTGGAGAAAGACTGTCAACAGTAAAACAAATACACCCCTCCTCTCAGAGCTCGTTTAGAAGCCACACCCCCAAATTCATGGACGTGCATTGCCAAGGCAACGACACAGTGATGGACTCCTGAGTGTCTTATAGGCTACATTGTGGAAGTGAATACTCAAAACAAACCTTATAATATACAACATCATCAAACTAACAATCTGCAGACAAACACAGCATCAGAGTTAGCCGTTTAGTTAGAAGAGGACTGTAGGTTTATAACTGAGCTAACAAGGAAGCTAATGTTACCTAGCATACCATTTCAAATGATGCATCCAAACAAATACATCCACTGTGCCAACAGACTTGTGTTTGGGTCTTCATGGCTATAAAACCCTTCACATGTTGTACAGATAATTACCATGATACAATGCGAACTGTCACTGCTTCTAAGCTAACATGCAGAGAGGACCAGATGGTTTCCCAGAGCCAGCACACCAGCTGCAGCTGGAGGTACTCACAACTCTCCTGCTGCTACAGTTAACATCACACCAATAACATATCAGACCAGACACACAAATGTGAGACTGGTACCTGTTTGCTAAGTAACCAGTTGCTGTTAACTTTCACAAACATTAGCAAACGGGACAAAACAAGGGGCCAGTGGAATGTCAAGATATTCCATAACGTTTTTACACTTTTTAAAGTCTCTGTCCCGGTCCTCTCAGTGTGCCTATCATTCAGGGTCAGTCCCAGTGGAAAAGTCCAGGACTCAATTTCTTTTCCAGTCCAACCGTGAACCTGTACCATTGGAAAGCCTCACTGATGTTGACACCATTCTTCATCCTTGCCTGATCATGGCACTTCTTTTTCAAATAATGTGTAATTTTTTTGTTTCTTGGCCATCATGCGGTCTTGACAATGCGATTATGTTGTGGAGTGTACACCAACATCCTGCCACCGCCATTAGATTAACATGCACTCGCCTTGACATCACCACTGGTTTCCCATCTGGAGTCCCCATCAATCCCATTCAAAACTTTTACTGTCCCTTGCTCCCACTGCCCCATTTCCCCCACCTGCCTTCCTCTTCTTTCCGTTGTGCTGAGCACGAGCATGAACACGCCTGTTGCTGATTGCCTTGAATAGTGTTGTGTGAGTCACTTTGTTTATTTCCCATTTACAGAGCTGGGCTGTGTAGGAACACCAGATGTTTCTTTGAGCATACACAGAGCAGACAGCAAGCAGAGCATGAGGACATATTCACTGAATCACTTTCTCCTCCTTTAATTCTCTGTTCACTTTTTTACAGCTTGTGTCCATTTGATTTTTTTTCTTTACAGTTAAAATATCAAACTTGTAGATTCATTAGCGCTCACCTCCACCTTCTCCAGTCTCTGTAGTTTACTCATAAGATTCTGGATCTCCCCATTCTTCTCAGAGAGCATGGACTGGAGTCTCTCCAGCTGAGCAGGGTCAGCCCTGGACCCCTGGAGTTGCATCAGAGTGGCTATTTGAACCTGAACCAGTGTCATTCAACAGTCAGTTATAAACAAACCACAGGACATGTTTGTAGCCACTGTATTTATCCAGTTCTCTCTGACACTGGTACCTTCATGCGCTGCAGCTGCTGTTTGCTGAAGGCGTGTTGTTTCTGCAGGGACTGATACTGGACCTTCATACTGATCAGCCGTATCTCCATCTCAGCACGCTTATCCTCCAACTGAAACACATGCACACTGGTTGCTTCAGATTCAGGTTTCTGCATTTATTTCTGTTTACCTCCAAAACATAGTATTCTGGTGGTTTTTACCTCAGCAAACAGGGAGTTCCCTTTGCTGTTGGGATCATGGGCCTTCTGTAGAACCTGGTCCAACTGGATCTGGAGGTCCCGGTTCACCTCACGAGATTTCTGTGCCATGACAGAGACACCAGGATATATGAGCATGCACAAACAAGAGACAAATACAGATCTAGAAACCAAGGTCAGACACACAGTGCTGTCCGTCTCATCACACACAGCAGTTCTGAGCTCTGCAGAGATGATGTGATGCATCATGTCAACATGAAGCAGAGTCTCAACATCTGGTTTATCTATGACATGTCCATGACATTAAGAAATGAGGAATTACCCAGTGTTAGTGTGCTGTTCCTAATAAAGCGCTCAGGGAGTATGGATCATTGGCAGATTCATTACGACTTAAAATGGAACTGTCAATCAATAGTCTGATGAACCAGAATAACATGAGAATATTATTGCACACAGACCAAAGATGAATTAACAAAGTATCTGCATATTTTTATCTATGAACTGTACAGTTGCAGATCTTTATTTACCTCTAAGGCATTAAACCAGGAAACAGCCTCTTTCTCTCGGTCCTCCTTCTCCTCTGTGATTCGCTCCAGGTGACGCAGCATGCTGCTATTGGTCAGCTCCAGCTGCTGCTCTCTGTACTGAGATTCCCGCAGAGTCTGCTCCAACTCCACCTGTTAGACAAACAAGGTCACCTTATCTACTGCTGGAGCTCCACCTGAGGGAGAAAAGCAGGTCTACCACAGCTCAGGAGGTAGACCAGATCGTCCAATAATCAGGACGGTGGTTCGATCCCCGACTCCTCCAGGCCTTTTGTCAAAGTGTCCTTGGGCAAGATACTGACCCCCTGATGGCTGTTCCATCAGTGTGTGGGTGTGATGTATGAATGTGTGAGTGAATGGGTGAATGTGGCAAGTACTGTAAAGTGCAGTCCATGTGGAGTTTATGGGGCAAAGTAGCAGTAAGTAGCAGCAACAGCACATTAGATGTAAGGTACCCAGGTTTTCAGTGAGGTATCAGTACAAGAGACAGATGAGTCAGAACAGTTAATCTCCCTCACCTTAATGGTCTCCAGATCCATGATCTTCATCTGTACCTCCATCACCTCAGACGTCATGGAACTCTGAGTGTGTTCATTCAGAGTTTGCAGCTCCTCCATTTTTTTATTCAGAGTCTCTGTCTGCACCTCCAGTTTGTGTCTCAGCTGTTTCTCACTGAGCTGAGACTCATCCAGAGCCAACTGCAACCTCAGCATCTGAGAACAAAACAACACATTAACAGTTACTGAACACACACGGATATCAAGACTTCACATATCACTAAATGTAGTAATTGGAAAAAGAGTTCAGAACTGCAGAACCTGTCTGAGAATCTTGTTTTTAGGTGTCTTACAGTATCACAGTGATTGTTGTCCATACATCCATGATGCACTGCAAACAGGAGCTGCTAATATGCTAATAGCTAATTCAGCAAGTAAACAATTTGCTAAAAATGTGCTAAAATGTAAAATTAAAAAAAAAACAAAAAAAAAAAACAGAGCCCACAGTTAACCAGCTGACTTAATGGCAACAGCACTTTTCCTTTCTACAGCTCCCAAAGTATTATGGGAACTGTTGAAGAAAGGAAGGGGGCAGGATCTACAACGAAATAAGACTTCCCCAATTTGAAATTTAAAAAAAATTTTAAATATCAATGTGGTGGATCACCACAAATAAATCTGTGTAACGCTGAAAGACCAGATCCACACAGTTCTACATTAAATAGGTGCTACAGCAGGTCAACAGGCCTTTTCACAGCAGAACAAACATATTGACTGTAGTTCTGTTCTGTTCAGGTGTCCCAGTGACCTAAGGCAGAGCACCGACAGGTGAAAACTGTCTGTTAAGAGGGTTATTTTTCAGGACCTGACCACAGTGGACCACAGGTTGGTGTACCTTGTTGTGTTGCTCACTGAGTGCCTTGCTGTGGCTCCTCTCCAGGTGTTCCTGTTGCTCCTGGAGCTGCTGTCTCTGTTGGGTCTTCACAAGGTCATAGTCCGACTGCAGTGACTCCAGCATCCGAGCCTTCAGCTCCACTTCCTTCTGCAGGGAGTACTTGTCCTGCTCGAGGGCCTGTGATAAACACATCACACAGGGACAGGTGGAAGGGATTAAAGCTCAACTCTGGATAATCCACACACCTGACCAGGAACACTTCTATCCTGAAGAAATAGTTCCTATAAAAAATGTCGACATAGTATTTGGTGGAGTGGGTATCTGAAAACCTGGAAACAGAAAACTGAAAGCACCTGCATGGGAATATATAGAACCTCTAGAGGTCAGAGAGAAAATGTGTTACCTGGCCCTCTAAAGAACAGTGTCATACCTCTAGTGCATTGGTCATCTCTACTCTCTGATCATCCAGTCTGTTCTGCAGTTCCATGTGCTGGTTGAGGAGGTCTAGACCAGCCTGAGCAGCCTGCTGGACCTGCCCCTCCCTCTCCCTCAGCTGGCTCCGGAGCAGCTGGACCTCCTCCTCTGCTGCCATCTGAAGAGGGGAGGAAGGGGCAGGTGTTTGTAAAATCTGCTTCATGCTTCACCACCATGCTGACTGCAACCTGCCTCACTACATCTTCAACACAGCCTCACATTCAACAGCTTTATTATGCTCATTGGTGACATGTTTGCTATACAAGGTCCTTCAAAATGTAGCAGCACATGAACACAGCGTCAGAGACGAGGGCTGCTCAACATCAACATATTTACAAAGGAAAAAAAATTATATAAAACCAAAGTATTATTTATGTCATTTACCTCCTTTCATTTCAGCTCAGTGTGAGAGTCTTTACTGCATCGACAATTCATTAAATTGAAACAAAGATGAAAACATAGATGGAGATATGTCGACCCTGAACATCTGAAAGTCAGGACAACATATCAGTGTGGTTCGACCTTCCTCTCTGGAAGCAGTTTGCCTGACTGCCGGTTATTTTTTTTTTTTTTAATTTATACTTTATCTAATCAGGAAGTCATATTGAGATCAAGATCTTATTTACAAGTGAGACCTGAGTACAGAAAAATAAACATTCACATATGTGTTCATACAAACAAGTGGACATGTGTTTCTGTAAACAGCAATCAGCGTGTATATTTAAATGCCTTTAAATATGCATTAAGATACGCAACCAGGTGTATAATAAGATGATGACTTAAATGCTCATAAATGCAAGTTAGAAAAGAGATTAAGTAAAACAATTACACCCTACATCAGTCAGACAAAATTTTCAGTTTGTCGAGTTTCAGTCTGTTCTGTAAGTTATTCCACACAAATGAGGCATGATATCTGAAGGCTAAAGATTAGTATTCACTGCTGGAACATACAAGGGAGTGATGATAAATTTCTGGAGTATGTCTTTATAAATTGAGTATCTGTTGCCATGACTGTAGTTAGATTTTTGTTCAGGCAGATACTGTAGATGGAGGGGAGGGTCCATATGGAGGCTACACCTGCTTCCTGTGCATACTGGTGATTTATAACACACATCTTCTCCTGCTCTCAGTCCTGGGTGTTTTTGGTGAAAGGTTAAGGTTCTCCACCTGCTGGTGTTGTTCCAGGAAACAGGGTTTCCTGATGTGTTTAGGAAATTATCTAATGTTGGACTTTCAACAGATTCAGAATTTCCCCATCTAACTTGCATTGTTAGTTGTGCACACCAGGTCTCTCACTAGAAATCTAGGAACCCCTCTTTGGTGTAATTTATTTTTCATGATTTATACAATCAAATGTGAAGGCAGACATGTTGTCTCTGGTTCCCTCCAGTAATGACCTGTGTTTATGTTCTATGATCTATTCATAAACAAATATAGACAATATATCATTATCAGATTTTTCTTAAACCCACGATAATAGCATTTCAAGTCCTGTTTCAGTCGGGCTGATCAGTAGGATTACACAGTCACAACATGATCAGTCTAACCTGCATTTTCTACTAATTTCCTCAAAGACGGTAGGTAGAAAATGAAAAAATAAACTGTCTGAAACTTTTTGAAATATAAATTCCTGAATATATTTATATTCCCTTTCAACTGGCTTAGTTAAATCACAGCGTTTCTTCTCAAGTGTTTACTTGTCTATACATGATCTCTCACACCACTGTCACTTCAGCACAGTTTATACCACTGAAAGACGTCACAGCCTTAAATGTAAAGTGTCAGTGAACAGCCAAACCTCACGTGTCTCATATTATCACCTGAAAGACACAAACTGGAGACAGTGACAACGCACGGTTCACCTCTAAACCATCCTCGCATCTGCTGCTGTAATACTGAGGTTAGTGAACACCGTCTCCTACTAGTCATGACTGAACGGATAATTCACTGTAGTCAGAGATAAAGTTAGTTTAACTGACGGCCGTTGGAGACGCGAATCAATGAATAACCGGAAAGAACTGTTTGTTGTCACCAGCCGCCTGATAGACAGAAAATAAACAGACGACCCACTAACTAGCTAACCACCGTCGGCAATAATGGCGCTTCAGCAACTTTCCCAGTTTCTTTTTATCACAAAGTTAACGTTAACGGTTTAATTTCCCCTGAGGTGACGTAGAAGTAACAACAGACAGCTGGTAGAGGCAGTTACAATCGTTACAAAATGGATATAACAACGAAATGATCATGTTTACCTCGACGTGTGAACAGTCTTCTGATAGAACTACAAACCGCCAGTTTTGTTTAAACCGAGCACAGTTCCCATGAACTATCGCGATACGAAACACGAGCTTGCCTCAACGAGAGTTGTGCCTGATTGGCCAATGAAGCGATAAGGGGCGTTTGTATTGTTTGGTCTCATGGAAAATGCACAGAAAAACACTATAGTGTCTCTATGATAAATCTTATTATTGTAATGGTTAAATTCCATATCCGTAAATGTAAATTTACAAGTAACAAATCATGCTTTATTGATTTGGTAGAGTTCAAATAATATAATAATTCAATTCAACACTCTCCCAAACAAAAAGCAATTAAAACTGTAACTGCTGGTGCTGTTAAAATGTTTATATAGTCCTAGATCCTATTGAGGAGACAAGTGCGGATGTGGTTCACCGAGAGGGGTTGGGTGGATGGATGGATGGATGGATGGATGGATGGATGTCTACACCATCTACTGTGATAGGTGGTGAATAGCTTTACTCTGTAATTGATGCTCCACAATAGACCTGAGAATGATACACATAACACTCCACTAGTCCTGTAATAAAATCAGTGATAATAAAGGTTTCATTTTAAAGTCCAAATAAAATAGTTAATTATACAAAAGCGCTCAACAGAGAGAGGAACAAATATATGTGACACTGTGTTTAAAGTACTTCGACCAACAACACAACTATGTGAACACACCATGACAATATTCTACTTGTTGAGGGAAATATTGTTCATTTTACTCCACAACATTTATCTGAAAGCTTAAGTAACTAGTTACTTTTCAGATGAAGACATGAACACACATTATATAACAAGCTTTTATAACACAACACAGTTACAGATATTTACAACCTTTTCGATTTCATACAAAAATCAGTGTGTAGTCAGGTCACAGTTCAGATGATGTATGAGTTGACTCCACCAAACTGTGATTTATCCCTCTAAACTTCTCTCATGGTTTCATTTCAATAAATGTTCCAATGATCCCATTTCACAACAATAATCAAAGAGTAGAGAAAAAGTCTGAAAACTGAAAACAGATTTGTGGATCAGAACTTTGTTTCTTCTTCTTTTCTCTCTTATAAATCTGAGATTTGTCTGTCTGCCTGTAAAACCAGCTCCACTTCCAGCAGCTACAACAATAACATACTGCTGACACACTGATGCTTTAACTACATTTTGCTGCTAATACTCATGTACTTTTACTTAAGTAGGAATTTTTTATTCTTGTAATGAAGTACTGGACAATATTTTAATGTATTTTTGTTGTTGGATCTGAATACTTCTTCCACCACTCACTGTTTAATGACTACACATTTCATCCAATCAATATAATGATGATGATTGATAGCTACTGTTTTTTCATGATCTTATTTTTTACAGATTAATGACCTGCTCACTCGCCTCACCAAATAAATTGTTCAAATTAAGAAAACATTTATCTTCATCTAAGACCTTATACATGTGTTTGTCTTTCTAGACAATACCTATATCTCAGAGGTCCATCTGGTGAAAAACAAGCAGTGGTTTTGTGGTAGTTTAAATATAAAAAAACAGACCAATGCACAGCTGCTCCATCCTGGATTTGTAGTTGATACTGGGAATATCCATGGAAGTGTAATGCATTCACTTGGAGGAAAAAAATTGCTCTGTTTCTCTGAATTAACTAGATCATTTTCTCAGAATTCTGAGATAATTCAGAAAAAAAGAGCAGGAATTTTATTTTTAAATTTTTTTTAAAGAAAACATTTTTTATATAGTTTTCTCCAAAAAATTCTGCTCTCTTTTTCTGAATTAATGATATCCTTATCTCAGAATTTTGAGATAATTATCTTGTTAATTCAGAAAAACAGAGCAGAATATTTTTTTCCTCAAGTGAATGCATTACACTTCCATAGATATCATCGCTTAACTGTGAGTAACACACACAGCCAATATAACAGTTGGTTTTCAGTCAAGTGTGACTCATGAAACGCAACAACTCTTGTGGTTCTGGAAGACCAGGGTCTTCAGGCAGAATGTCCACTTCCGTGGTCTCTCCTACCATAACACATTTATTTTGCTGGAAGATACAAGCAAGGACAACTTCAGAGAACAAACGTGTTTCTCCTGCCATAGCTTTAAACAGGGTTTCCCTCCACTTCCCTCCCTGTAATGTGTTTTTCAGGGCATAGACAGCATCCATTACCTCAAAGGAAACAGCTGTGTGGAGGATGGAGGGCATTAAAATAAATGGACTGTGTTTCAGAGTGAACGTGTTGTGTACTGAGCCAGGACACCCCACCAAAATGTCCAAAAACAGTCCTAATGTGTTGCTTATTGCTTCCATTTGAATTGAATAATATAGTTTATAGCTGAAATAATAGATTTAGTTGGATTTTGGTGAAGTCCACAAGTCCAGGGGCCAGTTTGGCAAAGATACTTCAGACTGGTCTGTAGTGTTAATGTTGCTCATAAATCACTCGTTAGTCAGGCTGTTTCATTAAAATAAAGACCAACTCATTTTAAGACAAACACATTAGACACCTTACCCCCAGACTAACTCAAGTCTAAGACCAATGGGCCTCATTCACCAATATCTTCATAAGCATTTTCTTAAATTCTTTTTGAAGTTGTTCTGAAGAAAGTCCTTAAGAAAACTCTACATCAGATCAGTAATTTAAATAATATGAGAAGAGAAGAAACCACTAAAAGTACTTATTTTGCTCAAACATGTCAGCACTCAAGTGGACGAAGAGTACTCCTGAGTGTGCGTAGATTCTGTTCTTATCTAAGAACAAATCCCAAATAAGACGACATTGGTGAATGTCAGAATCTTTGTAAAAAGTGCTTAAGTGGGTTTTAAGAAGGAATTTCTTCTTAAGAATGGTTGGTAAATGAGTCCGAACATTACCATGGTAACAGTCAGTGACTCATGTGCTGAACAGTAGCACCCAGCAAGTAACAGGAAAACATGGCTCATAATTTGTGGTTTGTTAACATTGTTATGGAGAGAGAAGGGAAAGAGTTTTTTTGAGACTAAAACATTTTCTGCTGGGGTAAAAGGAGCTGAGCGGTTTGATGGACTTCCTCAGTCAGCCATTTCTTTTATTTTGAAAAAAGTCTTAATTTACCTAGAATTCATTTTACCACAGTCCAGCTTAAGATAGTCAAGAACTAAAATGTTTGTGCAACAGATGAATTCAGACTCAGTCTATCTGAAGTCTGACTGCTCTGTTATGCTGTGTGAAACAAACAAACTGGAGGGAACATGGAAGTCCTCATAGAGCCCTGTGAACACCCTCTGATGACGACATTTAAGTGAGACGTACCCTCACATAGTTGCAGATGCGCTGACACTAGTCTAACACTACCTAACCAGAGCTTTCCATTGTCTGAGCTCTAACCATCAACAGCTCATTCAAATCTCCACTCACTGTGTAGATACTGGAAACACATGCTTTCTAGCACATATTAATTATATTAATATCTATATATCATTATATAAATATTAATCAAATGTCACTGTCATGCTGGAGCCCTGCAGATGCACATGCACTTCTGGGTCTCCTGTTTTTCTTTTTTTGCATTTTTTTAAATTACATTTTGTAAAGTTTCCCTTGATAACCTCCTAAAATATTAAATTTTACTTATTAATTTAAACATTAATTGAAAACATACACTGATGCACAGCAAATGAACTGCACCACTGTGCATGCTAAATGACAAAGCTGTGGTGTAATGTCTAAGCTCTCTATGTTTCTGTCATGTTGTGGTTATCAATCTTCTTTTAGGACGTGTCCAGTAGTGAGTGGTTTTGTGGTGTGATGTCATGTTCACTGTGTTAACAGACTACTCACTGAAAAACTGTTACAGCTGCGTATAACAAATACAAATGGTTCTCAGGCAGTTTCTGTCACTTCAGTTTAATTCAGCCTTCATCACATTCCGTTTTAATGTATTACACTCTACCCACATGTCCACACAGTTCATTCAAGATTCATACAAGATTTTACTGTCACATGAACGTCAGTGTGTCAGGCTCACATAATTCACTCAGAACAGAAACAATGGAAACAGATGATGGTCCACACATGGTTTCCAGAACTATGTGAAACAAATAGTGTTATATTGTCATATGTGAGGAACCGTACATCAAGAACAACTTACACAGCGCTGCTTTGTTTTCATTTTTAGTCTGTGTTCTTGTCAAGCTGCAGCGATGGAGGCGTCGTCCAGCTGTCGACCCTGAGGCTGAGGAGGAACAAACACAAACTTCACTCTGAACATCTTCACACTTACACAACAACGACTGAGGTGTGTGCTAACTCAGGTGTGTGTGCATTACCTTGACAAAGATGCGTTGAGGCAAGAAGCGCCTCAGTGTGTGTGTGTTGGAGGTGGGGCAGCGGGGCAGGCAGATGTTGAGCTGTGGCAGTGTTTGGTAACCAGCCATCAGAGGGTAGTAGTTAAACAGGATCTGCTGCTCTGAGCCAGGGAGGATACGGAGACGCACCTGCATACACGCACACAGATTCACACACAGTATAAATGCATCTTCTTGTCCATGCAGTTTCAGTGTGAAAGCAATAGTGACATTAAAAACCAGTAACTAGTCTCTGGTCTCCAGTAATGCCTGATGATCTAGTTTTTGTTAGTGAAAGCAGACTTTTACATCTTTAAACCATCAACATCAATTGCATGAGGTCTCAGGACTGTCCCACTGTCAAACCATCGAGTCAATGAGGTCTCAGGACTGTCCCACTGTCAAACCATCATCCAGCTCTTCACCGTCTTCATAGTTTAAATCTGAAATGCAGCTACACGTCTTTAGACCTGCCACTGACTTTATTGGGACCTCATCTGTCATGTTATTGTCTCTCATGTGCAGAGGTGTAGTGCTGTTTGTTTATGTACCGGAGCACACCTATGGTCCATGCGTACGGTTGAGTTGCGGCTCGTTTCAAAGGTTATGCAACCTCTGTTCATACAGTGACAAGTTTACACGCATTTACTGACTTGTCGGTAAAATGAAGCCATATTGGAAACATCCATTCAGAGAAGCTGTAGTGGAGACAGCGGTCAGGTGAAGCTAATAGGCTAGGCTATGAAAACGTAGCTAAGCTAGCTTTCTGTCCAAGTGTAACAGACTGACTTTTGTCATGTTTCTGTGTAAATGCATCACAGATAAAGAAAGTGTCAGAAGAGTGAATGATGAATGAAAGGATGTTTTCTGTCTTTTCATCTTTACTAATCAACCATTCACTGAGCAGCTCAGAGGCTACCGGCAGCTACCAGCATCTTTTAAGGTGGAATGTTTTCTTGCATGTTATTCAATGCATGATTGAGGTCGGAAATCAATCAATACACCTAAATGTCAATATGAGAACATTGACCATTTCATTTGTTTTTATCAGCTTTGTACATGACAGACTCTTTAGTGATGATCGGATGTTCAAGCTCTTAAAATTGTGTAAAAAATTTCAACCTGATTCTGTGAACTCTGGATATTTTATTTCATCACTTTGAGAAAAAAAAGTGGTGGAACGTTGTATCGGTGGCTCCGGCAGCACTACATCTACGCTTACCTGATCAAATCTCGTTGTGACAGCCTCACACACTCACAGGAGAGTGTAAAAGATGTATATTAAAAGATTGATCTTGGGTTTAATGAATTGATATCAAATATTCAAATGACGATCGGTTTTAATCGGATAATCCGATTTGGCAGTTAAGGGAAATTTAACTTAGACAGCTGAGCGCCCAGTCCTCCGTTTATTACTCCTTTTACTGTTATGAACGTGTGTTAGACATTTAAGGTGAAATGCTTTTTTTCTGCATCTAGACCGTATTAAACCAGGTTCAGATCTAAAACCACTACACTCAAACTTGTCAAATGTGGTTTAGATTATGCCAGAGAGGCTAAAGACTCTTTAAAACACAGTTTCTGACTTGAGAGACCTTTATCCTATTCCTAAAATGCAAAAAAGGGGTATTCATTTCTAGAATCTAGACCAGATTTGCAAGTCTGAGTCTTGTGGTTTTTGATCTGGACCTGGACCAGACAGCATTAAAAGTTTTACCTTAAATGTCTAACACACATTCATAACATTAAGAGGTACAACAAACGGAGGATTGTGTCCATATGTCAGACCATCAAGTCCGTGAGGTCTCCCTCACAGACATTTTGAGCCCTTCATGTTCCCTTTCCATAAATCCGCATTTCTGAAGACTTAGCCTGAAGGAATTACCCACAGCTCATAGCATAGCGACGTTAATCACAAGGCTACCATGGTTACCAGGGGACGCCCAGAAGCGTAAAAAAAGGGTAAATAACCATCATAAAACCAAAAGAATAAAGAAGAACAAACAAGCATGAAAGGAACAAACCCTAACATCAAAATTACGAGACAAAATAAGTTTACATGTGAGAATAAACAGATTAGGCTCCAAAATTTAATATCTCGATACAGCCCCGCCCATATATATATATATGTATATATACAATATGATATTTTTTCCCCTTCAGCATTATGAAAATATCACGTATGGTGGGAAATAGGCCAAAGCTAAAACACAGAGCTCAGTGGTGACTCAGAGCCAGAACTGTGTGTAGTTAGCTGTCCTATGATGATGATGATGAAATCTCTAATCTGCTTTCATCAGATCTGATCCAACATTATTTTGTTCACAAACAGGGAGTGAAGGAAGGGAGTAAAAAATGCTTTTCCATTGCACAACCAAAACAGAGAGAGAACAGTGCTTTTGTTTTTCTGTGGTCTACTGTCACTTTAAAAGAGAATACAGCTGTACCTGTTTGAGTCCAGAGAACATGAAGGCATCAGAGGGTTCAACAGCCATCTCCACCTCCTGCACTAGAGCTGTCCTGTTCTCGATGTGGTAACGGACTGGAAGAGACTCTCTGACTCGACCAAATGATGGTAAATCTACAGTAGAGGTGATCACACACCAAACAACTGACTGCTACAGATGAAAACTATGAACAGTAGTAGATAAGCTATTCCTTTATTAGTCCCATAGTGGGGAAATTTGCAATATTTCTGCCATAAGATGTGTGATGTGTGTATTGACTTAAAGCAGGAGTGTACTGACCAGCATGGATGTAGAGAGGAACAGACTCCAGGATGACATGAGGTAGAGTGACTGTGGTCTGGATGAGAGGACTGTCTGCACTGGAGGGCTTCCTGTCAACACATTTACAACACAGTTAAAGGCTTTACGAGACTCAGGTCTAAGAACTCAATACAAGATGCAATTCAATACAAGTTAACTCTAATAACTTCGAATTACTATTTAACTATGTGATTCTTGGCAAATATTAAATATTCTCCATAGCATTATTTTCTTCTTGATTCAAGAGTATAATCCCTTTTACATTGGCTTGTTGTGACTGTTTAAGTTATGATCTCCTTGACTAGTAAAATACAGGACAAATAAAGATGCATGTGTTTGTCACCAGAACAATAAAATATTCTCTCTAGTTTAATTAACTGCTCCAGATGGATTTTTATCTATTAGTTTTAAATTTATTCAAGATTTTTTGATGCTTGTCTGTAGATCAAAGTTTTTCATTGGATGTATTTAGTAAATACGTTTTAATAAATAATCAGGAAACAAAAAGATATTTTTATTGTCTGATTTTTTTTACGATTGAATTGAGAATTGGAATTAATAAGAACAATCAGAATTGCTTCATCAAACAATAAATGGTAAATGGATTTATTTTTTACATACATATTTTTACATTTTACGAGCTTTGTTTAACGACCACTCAAAGAACTTTACACTACAAGTCATATTCGCCCATTCACACACACATTCATACAGTGCTTCACAGCACATCTCTATCACACTCACTCACTCATACACTAATGGTACATTGGGGGCAATTTGGGACACTTTGACATGTGGACTGAAGGAGCTGGAGATCGAACCACCGACCTTCTGATTAGTGGACGACCTCAGCCACAGCTGTCCGTACAATACCCAGCTCTATTTACGAACCCCACACATTACTCAGCAGCATCTTCTCAAAATGTGTGTGTGTGTGTGTGTGTGTACACACCTCCTCCATGATATCAAGTACTGTCCTGTAGCCACCGTGTTATTGCTGTTGGTCAATGGTGGACATCGGAGACAGAAACATTCACTGGCACATTCACCTGTCTGCAAAACCACTGAACACACACAGTTGTTATAGTCACGGTACATTTTACTTTTAAATTCAAGAATGATTGTAAAAGGTTTTGTAAGATCAGTTTGAAGTGGTCGGTACCTTCCTGCAGCTGTGACTGCAGCTGTGGTGTGTTGCTGGTCATAGTGAGGAGCTGCAGAGAGGATGAGGCCAACACAAGTGGCCAGGGAGATGAGGAAAAGATGTCTGTCATCAACAGGAAAGGAATGTCCACTGCTACCCGGTCCAGTGGCTCAAACTGCAAACACACAGACTCAGGGATAATAATGTTCTACTCACCACACTCCACTGGCTCATTGTGACCCCAACCATCTTAACTCTGTCCACATTATTTTGCTTTTTCCCTTCAGTTCCCTCTGAAGGACACTGCTGAAAAAATACTGACTTAGCTAAACAAACACTGGTCCACCTGATTTGTTTCAGCTACTTACCTTGGTGGATACAAACTTGACTGACACCTCAAATGGGACCACTGTCTCAATGGTAACAGTCTCATCCTGGAAGACAACAGAGCAAGAGAAGTGTGAACCTGGTAAGAGACAAAGTGCTGCCAACCAATCAAGTTGCAGGAGTTGTAGTCTCTCCTTCAGCGTTACAACGTTGAATAATGACCATTAGTATTTTTACAGAACACTATGATCTCACAGTGAACTTAACCTTTGACCTTTTGGATATGAAATGTATCACATCATCATTTTATCCTATCTTCTCAGTTCATCTTTGAGTCCAAGTGAATGTTACTGAGTGTTCATGAGAATGAGACGTACAGAAGGATGTACAGAGTCTGTAAACATGATGTGTCTGTTTCCTGTCACAGACATGGAGATAGAAACATTCACAAGACCAAACATTTTATATGGGTGTTGTGTTCAACAAGGTTCTCTACCTTATGACATTTGCAGACAATTTGTTGTCCTTCCACTGTGGTATCGATGCTGTAGGCCACGTGGAACAGGAACACCCTTAGTCCGGTTGACACACACCTCACATACACACATCTCTCCAACTAGACACAAACACACACACTGACTGAGTTACAACGTTTCACTCTGGGCAGACTGATATGGGTACAATGTACAAACTGTTGAATGAATGAATGTGACTATGCCCATACCTTCTGGCCTGGTTTCAGGTCTCCCAGCGGTACATCAGGCAGCAGAGCAGGTGCAGCGTCATCACACACCTTTGAGCCGTCCAGTGTCACATGTGTGGTCTGGCCTAGATTGGCATCCTGGCCTGGACACACCAATCAAGACAAACACTAAATTATATTCTATACACCGATGTTATGCCCTACATCTGTAACCGTGGTAACTGAGAGCTTGTCTATCTGCTACAGACAGAGTAACTATAAGGTTAAACACTGTTGCTAAAGTTCATTACAATAATCAACATTTGGGGACATATGAAGTTTCTTTCTGAGAGTGAGATAAGGAGATCGATACAGGCCTACACCCTCCCCCTCCCCACTCTCACTATGTTTGGTGCTTTCGCCTGGAGGCTCCGCCACATTGACTGTTGTTCTAAACTAATGACCCGGAAGTGGGAGTGGGTTATAAAGCCTCCAACACCAAGTCTGCATCAATGCAGGTTTACAAACCAAACTCCCAGAGAAGTGCAGCATCACTTTGGGTCCAGGATGGATGAAACACCACAAACCTACAAATGTGAGTTCTGTGTGTTTATATAAGAGAAGTCATAAATCACCTAAAACAGACATTTCACAGAATATTATCATGCAATACATGATGAAATTAGAGGTTACATTGTATTTTGGAATTAACATTTTGCTGTGTACCTGAGAATTGGGATGTATTTTTTTTATGATAATTTCAAGAACTTTGGAAAAAATAAGGATCTAATCAGATTAATTGATTGATGGAAAATAAGAAAATGTTCAACAAAAAAAGAAATTTGGCCAAAGAAGCATGTGAGTGAGGTTTTATTTATCTCTCTGACTATGTCATGAATGTGATGAGGGCCATGTCATTGCCCACACACATACATTTTTGTTTGCTGTGCGTAAGATTATCTTTAGATAAATATTGATTTAATTATAACTCTCTCAAATATTTTGGGTAACAATGAATTTTCCATGTTCCAAGTTTCCATGAGAGAAAGGTGAAGGCGTCCAAAGCTTGTCTCTGAGTGGGAGTGTGTAAGGGCCAGATTGGAATTGGGGCACAGTCTGAAGTCAGGACATGGTTAGCCTAGCTTAGCATAACCTAGAATCACCTCCTCATGGTTGTATCCCTCCTCCTTTCAGACTAGTTTCAGGTTACAGCCTTGTTTATCCAGACTCATATAAAATATGAACCATTTGTGTGAAATTTTGTCATTATTTCTGTGTGAAGTCTTGAGTAATGGCTAAGTGTTTTCTGAGGTCACCATGACACACATCTAATCAATTCATCCTTGAGTCCAAGTGAATGTTTTTGCCAAATTTGTAGGGATTCCCTCAAGGCGTTGCAGAGATATTGCATTCACAAGGCCAAAACCGCATTTTGTGAGGTCATATGATCTTGACCTTTGACCACCAAAATTAAATCAGTTCATCCTCGAGTCCAAGTGGACATTTGTGCCAATTTTGAAGAAGTTCCTTCAAGGCGTTATTGAGATATCATGTTCACAAGGCCAAAACTACGTTTTGTGAGGTCCCCACGCCTGTGACCTTTGACCCCCAAAATCTAATCAGTTCATTCTTGAGTCCAAGTGAATGTTTGTGCCACATTTGAAGAAGTTCCATCAAGGCGTTATTGAGATATCGTGTCCATGAGAATGGGAGGGATGGACAACCTGAAATCAATATGGTGCCTCTGACTGTTGCCAGCACAGAGGAATAAAAACAGTCTGACTAGTTCAAGCTTAGTGCTGTCACAGTAGTTCTGCTGTACTTGTATCAGTGTACCTGGTTTGAGGCCAGCTGTCAGTTTGACATCTTTGGCCACACCCTCCTCCTGTGATTGGACGGTGAGGTTGATGCAGTACATCTCATTGTTGAGAGCAGGAGGCTGGTGGCTCAGCTCAACTAAGATCTTTGGGACTCTAGAGATGATCCTGAACACACAAGACCAAACTAACTGAAAATCTCACACAATAACTGTAGAACTGACAGGTGATGTGTCTGAACCAGGCCTCACATTGTGCTGTGCTGGATGATCAGGCTGTCCCAGTCCAGCTCTGGCTGCATCTCCACGCCTCGTCCCCATCGGCGTGATGACCTGCTGGCCTGCAAGGCTTCATGGGCAGAGGCTGCATCTCCTCCAGCCCCTCTCCAGCTCAGAAACACACAGCGGCCATTGTCCCTGCCCAGCATCACCTCAATACCCGTCATCTAGATCAACATACATAGGTAGCAATTAGTTCTCTCTCCTTCTCTTACACACACACACACGCACACACACACGCACACACTTACCTCAATCTTCTTGCCAACATCTTCAGACTTTGCTACGAAGCTGAAGTTGTAGCATTTGGTTGTCCCTGGCAACAAGTTCATGCTCTCCTGAGCTGACGACTCCACCACACACCACTGGTTGTACTCCTTCACACACAGACACATAATCATTTTGTTACTGATTCAAATTACAGGACTGGGACTGGGTATGTTTTGGTTGAACTAAAAAATTAAAAAATATATGTCAGGTGTCCACGAGTTACAGTCCTGTTTTTATTGTTTACTCTTAGACAAAGTCCAGTTTGGAAATTAAAGACAAGGATAGTTTAAGTTAGACCATGTCTTGGTGTTTAGAACATGTTTCTCTCTTCATTAATACAGTAACACATCACACAGCTGCTGGTTAAAAATTCACATCAGGTCATATTATAATTGTTAAGGTTCTGCAGCATAAGGGCCTGGTGTGTCCTGCTTGTGTCTTTCGTGTGTCTGTCTGTGTGTACCTGGTTACTGAGACTGACGGCCAGCTTGCTGAGTGACAGAGGGTGAGGACAGTCTGCTCGGAGGAAGACCTGCAGCTGGATGGGCTGGTCTACGTGGAAACTGGGAGAGCAGAACTTAGCCTTGCACTGGACTGGAGTCAGAGAGAGACTAGAAGGTTAGAAACACCTAAAGCACCATTTCCAACCTTTGTATATACAGTCACAGTGAATTTAATACAAGAATGTGAACAGTTCCTTTGAGTGACTGCGTGAATGTGTGAGTACTAACTAAACGGTATGTAGTCCTGCACTTCTATGGTGAACTCATTTGATCCGGCTAAAGACATGCGGTCGTTCCACAGCGACCTCGCTGCACTGACAGAAGACGGATCACAGTCTGGCTCAGGGTCAGGAACCTCGTTCTGATGGACGAGACAGAGACTTTTCAGGACAGGAGACATTGGAAGACATTTATCACGTTGCCAAGTGTTGTGTAGTTTTGTTCCTATTAACATCATGTATTTTGTGACTGACTGAACATTATGTGTTGAGTCTTTCTCCTCACCATCAGGACTTTGATGAGATTCTTCTCAATCCTCCCCTTCTGCTCCTCCTTCAGTGTTGAAGCTAGAAAACACCATAACGACATCATTAGCTTTTCCAGAGTTCACTGGAAACTCTGTGTGTTGTGAATGTGTGACCATACACACAGTTGTAAGATGTGAGCCAATAATGATTTTGGAAGACTGACACTGACGTTTCTAGACAAAAAATGTTCACACATCAACTGTAAAATATACTTAAGATACATCTCAAGGAAAATGGACAGCTAACACTGGACACATGCTAACACTGCCTCAATGGGCCAGAAACAGACCTCATGTAATGAGTCAGTCTCTGAAAAATGTACCTCCACAAATAATTTCTCAAACTAAAGGAAACACTGAGGACCCAAGTTTTTTACAGTCTAGGACAGAAAACACAAGGCTGATACCCTCCACTAAGATAGTTTTGTCTAATTAAGAATTTAAAGCTTTCACATCAGTGGTTCCCAACCTTTTCCAGCTCATGACCCACTTGAAAATCTCAAAAATGTTTGGCCCACATCCAATCACTTACGGAGGTCAGATAATGGTCAGAGCACTTTTTATTTTAATGATGACGATGGAACATTCAGGACTGAACTGAAGCAAGTGAAGCTCAGTTTTCCGGTTTAGTTTGATGGAGGAGAGATCACTTGTTGATTTACCATCTGTCTCTTGACTCTTTCCTTTAAATCTTCCTGTGGCTAAGCAGCTATCCTGCAAATTTGCAGCCCACAGGAACCACTGTTTTATAGGGCAAAAATGTGCTTTGACTTGTTCTATTTAATTAGTGGAGTTCTATAGTATTGAAATGAGAACAATAAGCCTATAAAAGAGGTGTCCAAATAAATTTTTCCATTTCATGACATGAACATTAATTCGGATTGTCAACCAGAACTAAATAAATAGATAAAATAATTTGCAATAAATAAAAGGATTACATTTTCCTCACAAAAGTTAAATCTAGGAGAGTGTCTGACTGGGACAAACACAGGCCTTTGACGTCAAACAGTTACCATTTTTAAGTTTACCATTTTAAGGTAAACAGACTGAGAATGATGCAGTCAGACAAACAGCAGGTAGATGACAGTGATGTTCCCTGTTTGGTTGTAGCCATGTTGCTTACCTCTGCCCAGGAGCTCCATGCAATATATGATGTAGTCTTTAACACTGGCCATCAGATAAGCACAGCGCAGAGCTGTGGTCAATATGGCCGTCAGGAGTCCCCACCATCGCTCTGTACGATAGTCACACATCACATAGTCCAACAGCCTAAGACAGACACACGTGCACGCGCACGCGCACGCGCACACGCACACGCACACACACACACACACACACACACACACACACACACACACACACACACACACACACACACACCAGAATGAGAGTGTGACACTCAGGTGTTCGTCTAAACATTTGAACCATGATGATCAGAGTGGAGTGTTTTTCTTACTTGAGGGCTTTGGTGTAGTCTTTAGCGTGGTAATACTCCTCTCCCATCTGCACCACTGAGACACAGAAGTGTGACAAAGTTAAACAAAACAACAGAGCTTTCCCCAAGACTACTAGTTGTCTACCAAGATGCTTTACACAAGGGTAGACTTGGTAGGTTGATGAAAAAATCTTACCCAAAATACTAGCAACCAGGTTAGAAAAGGTAATTGCTTCCCTTTTTCACCCTGATCAGGTAGGTTTTATGAAGGGTAGGAACTCATCTACATATTATGTGGAAAGTGAGGAATGACGCTGATCCTATAGTTGCCTTTTCCTTAGATACCAAGAAGGCATTCGATAAAGTAGAGCTATCATTTTATCTTTCACATTAGATAAATTTGGGTTTGGTCAACTGTTTAGGGAGGGGGTAAAATTAATGCACACAGATCCTCAAGCCACAGTTTACACAAATGGGATAATGTCTTTTTCCTTCCAATTAAGCCGTGGTACACGCCAGGGCTCTCCTCTGTCACCCCTTATATTCACACTCTTCCTGGAACCATTAGCTATTTCTTTGCGGAATAATATAAATATAACTGGAGTCAGGGCTGGGGAGGTAGAGCACAAACTCTTCTCATATGCTGATGATTTGTTATTGGTGGCTGAAAACCTTGAAGTTGCTGTTCCAGAAATCTGCTCAATTATTGACTCCTTTTCCAAAATATCAGGTTATACAATAAACTGGGCAAAATCAGAGGCTATGCCACTATCTAGTGTTTGTCCCCCATCTTCAAGAACCAACTGGCAGTTTAGATGGATGCCAGAGGGCATTACTTACTGTATCTAGGGATAAAATTAACACGTTGCTTAAAGAAAATTATGGAAAGAAATATCCTACCCATCCTCCAAACTATTCAGACCTCGCTCAAAAATTGGGCCAAGATGAATATATATTTATTAGGAAAATTAATCTTGAAAATGATGATTGCCCCCAAAATAAACTACATTTTATACATGCTACCTTTGTCCTTCCCACACCAATTACTGAAAAAATTCAATACAATGGTGGAAAACTTCTTATGGTTAGGGAAAAGATCTCTATTTAACCGGGCAAAACTATATGCAGCAAGCGAGGAAGGTGGGCTCGCTCTATCCCACATTAACTGGTTTTCAATATCCCAACATGGCAAAATAAATCTGCCTCAGGACAAGGTCCCTTCATGGATCAATGAGCAGGAATTAATATACCCCTCCTCTTTAGAGGCCTTCCTGACTCAACAAGGCAGACCAGTTCCATTTCAAAACCCAGTGCTGGCCTTCTCCAGGGAAACTTGGAGGATGGTACATTAAATAACAAGGCACAACCTATATACCACAACAACAGTCTCTGTATGGTACAAGAAAAAACTGTTGATAAATGGGAAACCATTCTTTTGGGAAATATGGATCATCTCAGGCATACAGGTCCTTGGTGACCTCATGGATGATGAGGGGATCTTTCGATCTTTTGAGGATCTCAAAAATAAGCATAATCTGCCTACCTCAGACTTTTGGAAATACTTAAAATTAGGCATTGTGCTCTTTTTTTTTTACAAAAAATTTAAACTCAGTTGTATTACTGGAATCTACGATCTCTTTCTGAAAAGAAGACATATGCATACTGGGGCATCAAAATTTTATGACTACATTAGAGGCACTTAACAAAGTTAAAAATGAGTTGAGAAAAGGATATTGGCCAAGGCATCTCAGATGACTGTTGGAAAAACCTTATAGCCACTTGGCATACTTATTCACAGGAAATGAAATCACAGCGAATACTTCATAAAATAATTAATAGAAGCTATTGGACCCCCCTGCAGACTGGCAAAACTAAAACTAAGTGACAAAAACAAGTGCTGGAGATTTGGAAAAGAAGCAGGCACTCTTGTACACTTGTAGAAAGACATATTGTGTTTTTTCTGAATAAGGTTTTAGGAACACATTTGAACAAATCTCCCATTTTGTGTTTATTTGGGTTTTTGCCACATCATATCAAACTGTCACAACACAGGAGGTTGTGGTATCGCATAGCTACGATTACTGGTTGTAGAATCATTTTACGTCACTGGAAATCCTCCTCTATGTCCAATTTTAATAAATGGATAGACTTAATGTGTAAAATGGCCTCATATGAACAGGTGACATTTAGGCTGTGTGGGAGAGAAGATCTCTTTAATGAAGTTTGGGGCCCATTTCTTTCTCAGTTAGAGAAACAGTGATTGACAGTGACAGTGTTTGATTGACAGTTTATGTATATCTCATCTTTTGATATCTATTTTGGTCTATGGAGCTGATGGACTCATCTGGACCATCTATATTTGAACACAGGGATGATATATCTCTGTATCCTGACTGATGGACAATGTGAACTATTAATTTAACAGCATGGGTTAGTTCATTGATGACTATATCTAGGGTCTTCTGATTGTATGAAGGACTGTTCAGGGCTATTTTTTGTTTTGTTTTTTATGTACAAATTGCGAATGTGGCTTTGGTCACTTGACTTATATTCAGCATTATTATGAGTGATGTTGCAGAGTCTGGTCTTGTGAGGTTGTTACCAGACTGTCTTGTTTGTTTTTTTTGTTTTCTCGTCTCTTAGTGTTCTGCTTGTTTAAAAAAAAAAAAAAACAGATGAAATGACAGTTTGTAACCAATCTGTACAGTAGATGAATAAGTCTGTCAAAAAGATCATCAATCATATTATATCAGTATAAAGATGACGTGCCTGATGAGCGTAGGTGTTTTTACCATCTGCAACAGTAGGGTTAGTAGGAACTACCACAGAGGTGGTTTTGAGGACCTTAGTAGGTGTTTATATGTCTGTCTGAGTTAAAAAATGGTTGTGGTCTGATCCATGAGAACTGAGCCCTCATGTAATAATGTAGTAATAATTACTGTGTGTGTGTGTGTGTGTGTGTGAGTGAGAGAGCCTGGCGTTGCTTGTAAAGATAACAGAGATCAACGAGGCTGTTAACGAGTAATATCCATCAGCTGTGTTCAGCTGGAAGACACAGAGCTCATACAAATGTGTGGGAAATAGGTCAGTGAACCTCTCAAACTCCTTCCATTTAAAAGAAATTAAAATAGAAATAGAAATAGACGACAGTACATAATATCAGCAAAAGTATCACACCATCAGCGCAACAAGACTCTCCTAAACACGTGTGGTTTGGTGTTTCTAGAGTCAAAAATGTGGAACCAAGGAGCAAGTAAAAAAAAATATGGATTTTTCAGTATTTCTCTGGAAATTCCAATTCTGAATTTGTATTACAGTCAATGGGGCAGTTGGATGGTACTCCCACCACTCAGAGGCTTGTCTGAAAGAAGACAAATTTGTCTATGTCCTGGAAAATTTTAATGAGTGAAGAGTGAAATGTGTAGCTGTGAGGATGCGTTAAACAGATTTTTTAAGACCAGTTTAACCCCTTCTCCCACTCTAGCAGTGATGTCATCCACCCTAGCTCCTGAACATTCAGCGCAATACACACCCATTATAAACTCAAAAATTATCCAAAAAAGCATAAAACTTAAACTGTGATAAATCAAAGATCAAAACAAGTTTAATAGCTGAAAGTCTTGTAAACATTTTAAAGTTTAAATGAAGTCTCTACCTAAAAGTATACTGAAGTAGTTGAAGTTCAAAGAGTAGAAGGTTTGCTGTGTGAATGCCTCAGCATTCACACTAATGACAACAGACAGACTGGCAGTGACTGTAAAACTGAAAAATAAAAACAGTGGATACCAGTGGAGTCATTCCTGATGTATTCAATAATAATACATTTCAGCACTTTGCTGTAGATCAGTGGGAAGCATTAAAGGACCTGCAGAGATGAAGAGAGCACAGTGATACTCACTGAGGTGACTCTTCATCCTGGGACACTTGTACTTCTTAAACTGGGCAACAGCATTACTGAGCAGTGCTATTATCAGCTCCTGTAGGAGCAGAGAGAGAACCATGTCTTAATACACACACCACAAAACATCAATATTTAACAGCTCATCTTTATCAATAGTGTGCAACTTTTTATCCTCTTAGTGCTTGGAACGTCTTGTTTAAAACATTTCCCAGAAGAAAAACACTTCACTAATAAATCTTTCCTGTCAGAATTAACACTGCTGTACACACTCAAGGCTGGGTTTGATGAGTCTGTACTTACTGGTATCTAAAGTCACAAAGTGGAGGATTTTAAACTCTGGAGTTGGTTAGCATTAAAAAAGATAGTAGCAGACAGTAATAGAATAAAATATAATCTCATTAAAAAACCCAGATATTGTGGATTTCAGTTTAGTAATTGCTACCCTAAAGCAGAGGGGACAATGAAACAGTGAGCAACAATATGGCTCCAGCTGTGTATGAAGTGAGTGTGTGTATTTACAGAATGAGGGACATCTCTCTCTTTAAGCTGCAGGGCCAGAATCCCGGTCTTCTCCTTCTCTGCATCTGGAGGATCAATACCTGAAGCACAAACAACAAATGTTTTACCCATACACTTCTAACATTACTAGATGATGATGTCATGATTCTAAGAATTCCTCCTTCATTAGACAGAGAATGTGTTGTTCCTACTCTGATGTCCTTGTCTCCACGGTCTCTGCCCATAGAAGTCCAGTCCCCCACTCTGGATGTCCAGTGGGTCAGGGGAGGGACAACTCGCTCCAGCCTGGAACCAGAAACCATTAACTGATTGTTCAGTTTATAATGATAAAGTAGTATCTGTCTTTCATGTCAGATTTAAAGTGGTAAATTAAATGTGTGTTGATGTTTTTCTTGAACTGTTTTCAGATTTACTGAAACTAAAAGTAAACACTAAGTAGAAGCATTGATCAGTCTATGTGTAAATTACTAGTAGTCTATAATATTAGCAGTAGTACTAGCAGCATTTACAGTAATAGTATAGCAGTAGTAACTGAAGTAGTGATATGATCTGTAGTGGTAGTACTAGTATCACTGGTAGAAACAGCTGGAGAGATTGTACCAGTAGCAGTGTCATTACCTGGCAAAGCTGCTGAGCCAGCTGCTTCCTCTCCTGGCTGTAACAGGCAGCCTGCTGGTAGTAGAAACCAGGGTTCTGGGTCTGGATGGCTGTCAGACCCAGTTTTATGGCTTCATCAAACAGCTCACCAAACGACTGAAACCTGATAGGAAGTACATAGACAGGATGAGGCATCAGATGATGAAATATTGAACAGAGACTGATTTGAGTTGTCCTTTACTTCTGGAATATCACAAGCACAAATAACACTGATGGTCTGAAAGATTATGATAAAGTGGATCTATAAGTAACTTGAGGCATGAAATGAAAACTAAATGTGCAAGAGGCATCAAACGGGTGTGACGCCATGATTGAAAGCTGGGTTTGGCAAGGCTCCCTGATCAATACTGCACAGACACTGGCTCCAAAGACATCACCAGTGCAAGATGGCAGCACCTGTTTCTTATTTTCATATTCTTATTTATTTAACCTATCTGCTGCTATCTGCTCATTTGCTCTATGGCGTGTCTTGTTATGTGGAATCCATGTATTTTTATTGTACCTTCTTTGGTACAGGCAGAAGACAAATTTCCACTAAGGTGGAAAGTCAAATCAATCAAATCAAATCAAATATTTTGGCTTCAATCTTGTACAGTGGGAGGAAGTGGAGACATGTCGTCCATCTTCATGTACAGTAATTGAACCTGATGTGGTCTTCTGCTGTTGTAGTACACCCACATGTTGTTCACTCTGAAGCTCTTCTGCTCAGTACAGTTGTAAAAAGTGGTTATCTAAATGACTATAGCCTTTCTGTCAGCTCCAACCAGTCTGTCCAAACTCCTCTGACCCCTGACTTTTCTCATCAACATAGAGCTGCTGCTCACCGGATACTTTAGGTATGGTAAAAAACTCTAGAGATTGTTGTGTGTGACATCCAGGAGATCAGCAGTTTGAGAAACACTCAACCAATGATAATGTCACAGTCAAAGTCACTGAGATCATTTTTCCTCATTCTGATGTTTGGTGAAAGCATTGCCTGTGATAAAATACAGCAGCAATAAACGCTACTAGTATGAGAAACTCCTGCAAGTGGAGATGAGACACTACACTGACGTCAGCACATCAGCACCACCGTAATCAACCAATTAATTCCAGTCAGGCACTTTGCAGTCTGTGCATACAACTTATAATTACTAATATACACTCAATTGGCAATTTATTATTAAAATAGTTTTAGACAGTTGATTCTATTGATCAATTGGGAGAAGGTGCTCTGTGAGTTTACATCCTCTTTAAATTATACAAATGCAACAAGAAAAAAAACCACAGACTGAAAATAAAGATGGACGTAGCCTCTGTGACGTCACCCACAGGTTTCTAACAAGCGGTTTTGAAGCTCAGAGTGAGCTGTTCCACTGTCACCATATTGATAGTGTCTGACTCCGCCCTCAACTCCCAGCTAATCTAAATATGGTCTAAGAGGAGGGGCATATGTGGAGCTGAGACTCTGGTGCATACACTCACCCATCTGTCACTCAAAGAAGCAACGCCCCCAATTCTACATAACTTTAAGTCTTAATAAAATGTTAACAGGTAAGTTATATAAACAGTTGTCATGAAGGAGGAAATTAGCTCTAGAGACCAAAACTGTTTTTGTACCAGGCTGTAAACATGTTTATTTCTGCTGTAAAGTTGAACATTTTAACATTTAACATCTATGGGGATTGACTCACTATTGGAGCCACACTCTAGTGGTCATTAGAGGAACTGCAGCTTCATTTTCCAGCCTGGAGATTGATGCTTGGGAAAAACTAATAGTATTCTAATAGTGGTTTAGAACAGAGCTGGTGCTCAATGTCAACAAGAAAGGGACTGGCTTGCTCAAAAAGTATAATGCTGCACTGTTTACTTGTGAGCCAGTGTGTGTATGAGTAGATTATCTTCATCACTAATGATCATAATCTGTGATGAATGAATCAATAACTTTAGCACTGGTGAATAGATGCCTGTCTGTGTATCTTACTGTTTAGACATCCATGCAGCATGCTCGAAGGCCAGCTCAGCACTGCCTATCTTCTTTTTACACAGGTCAATGTGCTTCCTGAACTGAGCTATAGCATCCAGAGGAGTGTTGTGCTGGAAACACAGACGACAGATCTGAAGACACAGAAAAGGAGAGACAGACAGAAAGAGAACTGTGTTATACATCCATCTGTAATCAACACTGAATGATATATTTTGAGTTTTGCTTCCTCTGGATAAATGTTATGCTTTTATATATTTTTTGCTTGTTTATTATCAACGGCAAAGAAGAAGTGCAGTCCACTCAACCTCTCACCACAAAGTCTGGACACAGCTCACTGAAGGAACATATAGGAGTCACTACCCAGAATATGCATGTAAGTTGCACAACATTGTGGGTCACTTGGTATGTTTGCCAGGTGGTGTATTAAATCGGTGATTCAGGTAGATGAATCTTTTTTAAACCCACACCAAAGTGTAACAATGCAAATCTTAACCATAAGCCACATATGTAATGTTATTGTATTGTTGTAAATGTTTTGGACTGTCCCCATTTTGTGACTGACTGAGGGCCTGACACTTCCAGCCTCACACCCCCGTCACTCTAGACAGACACATACCTTATAGTTGATGAACCCAGCCATAGTTTTGATCTCCAGCATGTTGGTCTCGTGGGCTCTAAGCTCATGGACAAGACTGTATGCAGTTCTGTAATACCTATGGAAAACAAACTTACTTACACTCAGAAACAGCCCAGGTACATGCTCATATTGAGGAGCTGGCGAATATTATTATGCTTCACATGTATGTCTTCTTCTCTGGACATTTAGACAATGATAAGCTCATGTAAAGAGAAACCACTTGATTACTTGTTTTTGTCTGAAAAAAGAATAAACCAAAAAGACCTGGTAAGTTAAATCACTGATGAGGTGGATGACTTCATATACTGCAAATAACAGGAGTGAATCAATTTTTCACTGCTGCTTGTTTTATACATTCTGGGGGAACGATCATAGAAGTGAAACTTTTTAGTTTTTTCAGAAATACCAAATTAAAGTAAATACAATAAAATAATGGAAGAAGTGAGCAATAACAATCACAACATTTTTAATGACTTTCCAATTCTCTTAATTTTTTTACCGTCTTATGTTTTTTATTAACCTCTACCTGTCAATGTAAACACACCTAATTCATATTTTGCAATTTCAAAGGTTTTCTTTACAAGTCGCTTGACAGCTGGATGAAACATCACTACTGTTTATGGTCTTAAGGTCCTACCAGGAGCTGATCACAACAAAGTGTCACTAAAAAAACTTCTAAATCTGTGGCCTCAGACTCACTTGAGAGCGTTCTGTGTGTCCTGTTTCAGCTCACTGAAGAAAGCGATTTTAAACTGGTGTCTGACAAACAGCAGCTGGGAACACAGAGAGGGATCTGACATGAAACAGTGGCTTATAAGGAATGTCAAGTTACTTTCAGGCTTTCTTTCCATGTTGAGAAGCATTGTACAATGTGGTTATTCTGCATCAGAATTAGTGGCTGTAGTGTGGTTGTGCATACCTGATGTGTTGTCTTGTTGAGGAACTCCTTGTGCGATTTGACACGACGGATCTCAGTGTAGTAGTATGTCTGAGCATGTTCATAGAAGGCATTCTCCAACCTGCAGGAACACAGACATCATCTGAGTGGAACCAGTGAAGTACGATGCCTGTAATTTCACCTTTCTGCCCTACCGGTGACCATGATATATTTACTTTATTGTTAACTACCTTATAATATAGCCCACCAGGTGGTCGGTGTGCGGCAGTACGAACAGACTCTTGCCAGACAGATCACAGGCATTACAAAGAGCTGCTGCTCTTTCTGAGGCAACCAGGTCCTCTCCTGTGGAAGAGTGCTGATGGTTTAGCTTGTTAAAAAAAACAGTAACAGACAGGGTTGCTAGGGTTGTGCTATGATCACAACAAACATGCAATCTAATTGAGGTCCTCACCTGGAGGCAGAGGAGTTTTCTTCTGGATTAGAACCACAGCCACCTTGGTGTTCCTGCCTTGAAGACTGGTCCTGAAGACAAACAAACATAAGAGACAACTGCAGATGAAATTCAGTGTGGTTATGTTTCTGATAAGAATGTGCAACAGTGTTAGCTGTATAAAAACCAGTTTGCTTATTCCGGGTATGACAGCTGTCAGAAAAGCTTTCAGTACTGAACTCAGTGAAGTGTTTGGAAACATGAAGAAACATCTTTTCATGCTACAAAAAATCTTCCACTGAAGCTGCATGGCCTGGCATTTCAGTACTAAGTGGATGATGGCAGTTTTGACAATGCTATCATCTTTTTACTGAAACTGAACACAGATGCTAAAAATCCATTTAACAAATTGCACATGATGACAATAACCATTAAAGTTTCCTCTGTGCGTAGAACAGACCCACACATACACAGGACATAGAAACCAGTCAGCTCCTCGCTCCCTCACTGTCAATTCAAACTTTTCTGAAGGCAAATAAAAGATAAACTGACCTGACAATCTCCACTTTAGTGGCACATTCAGACTGTTTCTCCTTCCACTGTGGGTCGTCCCAGTCCAGTTCATAAAAGAGAACCACCAGAGCAGGTACCAGATTCAGATGTTTATTCATCCAGCCTGTTTTCAGAATGCCTTTGGGGATGTACCACTCATAGGATGTTCGCTAGGAGACAGACACACAGTGTAGATACATCTGTTCAAAAACACTTAGGAAAAGTCCACATATATTATAAAAACTGTGACATGGTTCTGACATAAAAAAAAACAAATGTCACAATGTTTCTGTTTTGTTTTTTTTTCACATCTTAGCACTGACACAGTAATCTGAAATGCAAACAGAGACTGTGCCCCAATTACATACTTAAGTTTAATGGGATATTACAATGAATATCGTGATTTTCTCGTACTCTCACTCTCTATTCTGCATATATATATATATATATATATCACTACGGGCGGCTTGAGCGGGAACAGTGTGCTTTGACTTTTCTTAGCAATTCGAGTAACCATGGTGACATAAATGGCAATAAAAGAAAAATTCCCGTAGAGAATGAATAGAGAGATGTCTTGAAAATGACCAAACCCACCCCTCTTTGAACCTCTACTTCAACATCATATTTCAACGTAGAAAAATGGTTGAAACATTAAACGGGTCACAAAACTTGAGACTCTTTTGGGTTAAATTGGTATTTTGACGCAGTTTACATTTTGTGTCATTTTTAGACAGTTTCAGAATCTATTGTGGGTGTGTATTGCACAGAATGTTCAGAGCTAGAGTGGATGACTTCATGCGCACTTAAACTGCCATCCCTGAAAATTTTCCTCAAAAGAAATCAGACAAACTATTTTAAATCCCACAATTTCCAACCTTCATTGACATGAAAAAATGTAGAGATTTTTGTCCTGTATCACCCAGTTTTGGTCTCATTCTGAACTCTTTTACGGTTTTTGAGGCCTTCCCCCCTAGGTGCGGAGAAAGCTGTCCAAAGTTCCCATAGACGCCCATGTTAAACTGAAATCTGAAGCTCTTGTCCTCAACAAAGTTGAGGGGAGTTTCAAAACTGTGATAAAACCTCAACCTTAAACTGTAGGTAAGCATATAAGATATCAATGTCTTTATTGAAGCCTTGGGTCGGCTGTGGTGAGGTGATCTTTTCAATAGGACTTGTAATTTTCCCTCCGATATCCAATTTTCTAACATAAGATTCATCTTAAAAGCTGTTGTCTGCATAGGGAGACAGAGGGGATTGTGTGTGCTTGTTTCTGTCCTCCACCTGGTGACCACAGTCACCATAGCAACCAGTGTCTCAGCAGGTGCTACCGAGAAATGGGCAAATTAGAAAATTAGAAATTGGCTAATTAGACTCATTAACTCTTAGCCTTATAACTCAGGCGTGAAAGCAACTCTAAGATAAATCAACATGGTATATTTGCATGTACTTGTCTGTGCATGTTGATGTGTGGTTCTTTGAGTGTGTGTATATGTCATTCTATAATTGTGAGCACAACTTTGGTTAAAAACAATCATTGTGAGGTAATTTTGGTCAATCCAGACATCTTCAAAGGGCGGTTTGAAGGTCAAGCTTTGACAGTTCCTAACAACACTCACACACATACATTGAAAGACACACAAACACCATCACTACCATAGGGATATTAACTGTATAAATGTATCAACCTGGTAACACAAGCTTTTTGGAGGTTCTATGTTACACAGCTACTGCCACACACAACAATACACACACGCACATTGACAGACACACACAAGTGCAGAAGTGCAGTTGCTGCCCAAACTTCCACACTACTGACTGTGATTGGCTAACTGGACTGATTAACTCAGGGCATTTATTTTTACAGTTTACTCCATATTGTTCTACTCTAGCAGGAGAAATCACAGTAGCTTTATTGCAGATCAACTTCTCTGGGCATGTACATGTGTGTATGCATGTCTTGCTTTGGCTTAGGTGACAAATTTAAGTTCGAAACCATCATTGTGAGGTCACTTTGGCCAGTTCTCACGGTTTCAAAGCGCTTTTTGAGGGTGACTGCAGTGACTAAGGTCAGAGTTAGGATAATTCTCTACAACATGAATGAAATTCAAAGTAACGTCCGCTGCAGAGATCGAAATGTGTGTGACGGATACGCACATTCAAAATTTCTTCAGGAATTTTCTAGTTATTATCATTATTATTTTTATTACTGTTATTTATTTGTATTATTGATTACACCATTACCTATAGGTACTGGTATTATTATTTTCACTGTTACAATTAACAGTCAACACTATATACCGGTCTCTCTCTCTCCTCCATTTCTCTCCTCCCCCACCCCCCTTTCCCCTCTCAACCAACCGGTCAAGGCAGAACCCTGAGCCCGGTTCTGTTGGAGGTTTCTTCCTGTTAAAGGGAGTTTTACCTCCCATATGTCACCAAGTGCTGCTCTTTGTTGGAACTGTTGGTTTATCTCTATAATAAAGTAAGATCTCGACCTTACCCTGTAAAGTGCCTTGAGATAATGTATATCATGATTTGGTGATATACAAATAAAACTGAACTGAATTGAATCTTTGCCGATTCACTCTTTGTGGACCTCTCTATCCACCACTCACCTTAGTGCGACACTTCGGGTACTCATGGTCTCCAGGGAGCACTTTGAAAGAGATGGGGACTCTGTCAGCTCGACGGTTGGCACAAAAGGCGTCCCAGATGGCTCGGTGCACAGCATTGTACACCACATCCAGACCGGTTAGAGCTACAAATGCCATGGGCCGACAACATAGCTCGGGAGGAAGCTCCCACTGGGAACCTGCCATCATGATGATGATTGATTTACTCCCTAAAGAGTTTAGTAATCTATTTCACTGGCAGGATGCAGCTTCTGTAAGTGATAAATCAAACATAGAAAATATTCAGTTTGGTCTAGAAAATGTGGCTAAACTGGCTTTGATTTTGAAAACCTTTTTTATTAAAGGTGGGGAGCAATATGAACCTTGGGAAAAGTTCACAGTTCATTAGTCAATTGTTAACTCAATTCTGACACTGTAAAAGATTTTATGCAAGACAATATCACTGCAACATATCATAACACATATTTCAAGAACAATTATTCTCCTAAATTCACTTACTATGCAAAATATTCTAACCTTTAGTCCTTTGTAGAAAGTGCAGTGATGTTTAGAGAACCGGTGTTAATAATCTGTTGTGTTTCTGTTTCCACAGCACCGGGCATTACCAGACAGAGGCTTTATGGAGAACAAGTCACAAGACTTTAGAGTTAGCATCAGCTGAGCACAGGGAAGCCAGTTAGCTGCTAACAGTTACACTTGTTTACATCGTACAGACTGAAGCTCCACTATGTCACCTACGTCGCGGTTTACAAATGTCTTGACACGGAGACGTTTTCATCCATATAACAATCTGCTGTGCATCCAATAAACGGGAGACATGTTGTATTTTTTGCTAGCTGTGAAAAGACATAAAATAAAACCCATTAAGACGAAAGCGGAAGTGAGATAACCTAACTCGACTAACGCTACTAGCATTGCTGTTGTCCTCATTAAACTCGTAATAAAAATTAAATTAAATTTGAGAACTCGTAGATACATTACACAGCAACATACCTCTGCTGCATTACTTTAGTCAACTGGTAACAGTGCTAGGCCGAGCTACCAAACTGCTCTTAACAGATAGTTAGCAGACCGAAGGCTTGTCTCATAAGGCTAACATTAGCGTTAGCTGATGGGCGAGGCTGCAAATTTAACAAGCAAATAAACGTCCGTGTAGTTTTAGTTTGAGGCTGCCTGACTTCGTTTCAGCCAGGTCCCAACTCTGGTTACCACTAGACAGCTAGTCACCGATGTGTCAACCTCCACACAGCCAGAAAATAATAGATAATTCAGCAATTGTTGTTGAAGCAACAACAACCGAGCTACCTAGTTAGCTGCCTGTGTCAGAACTTAAATGTAACACTTCCGGTTCGACTTTTCAAAATTAAACGGCTACTTCACTGCCTCAATGATTTTTAACAAGTAAGGCAAATTCTGAAAAATCAATCTTAACAATATTGATGACTATTATGATAACAATAATAATGGTACGACCTTAAAACTACAAAGAATATCGTTTCCTGAGGATGCCATGTCAACATTCATAGATGATGTATTGTAACAGAAACAAACTCACCTGAATATTTATGACCATTTAATCAGCATTTGATGAGCTGTTGGGGAACATCCTGGAAGTGTTATAGTGTTATAGTGTTATAAATTGGAGAAAAATTATCATTTTATATGATAGCAGAATGATGGTTGTATATGTCAATATTGCATTTGCCCAGGAAAGGTGGATGAAGACATGTTATTCTAGCTGGATTGTTATTCTGTTATTCTGAGTGTTAGGCTATAATTGGCTGATAGTATCATTCATGTTGAACCCTGAGGTAAAGAGCACACTGTATTGAATGAGTCCTCTGTATGCAGAACACATCACATTATTACTTATCTAGAAAGTGATAGGGATCTCTGCATATGAGCTGACTTGGAGCTTAGAACCAGTAGCTCTACAAACAGTAAGGAGATTACCTCTGGAAGGATGGGATTTGCAGCATAAGGTTGTAAATAAAGCTTTTAATGAGGTGCATCAGTTGGCAACACCTCAGTTGGTGTCTTGCATTTTCTGTGTAGAAAAATAGCAGGGAGAGAGAGATGTGCTTGATCAAAAGGACTGAGGAAAGGAAACAGGGGGATTAAACCCAAGAGTAGAAATGGATCAGAAAATGTGTGTTGATGCAGTGAACACTATGAAGACTCAATAGAAGTTGAAGAAGGGTGGCAGGAGAAGAGCTTACTTTAAACAAAGGAATAAAAAAAATTTAAAAATCCAAGTGTTTAATGACTCAAACCCACATGGACACATGATTGTAATTGAAAGGATGGTGACTGAGGATCGGAATGTGTTGATTAAATGCAAAAAAGGCTCATTATAGGAATCAATCTGGAGCAGGTGACCAGGGCCAAAAGCAACTCTTGAGGTAAATGGATAAAATGAGTCATTTCAGGGTTCCTGTGTATGCAAAAGTGTGTGTCAAAAAGCCAAGAAAAATACACTGAGCTGGCACAGCCACACAGCGGTGACAGACTGAAGCAGTGTCTCAGTAGATCCTCTGATACTGTTGTTAATTGACTGAATGATTTGTTGGCTCACTGGCCAAAAGAAATCTGTCTCCAACCCATTTCAGAACTATTACTCCTGAAATAAATGTGTATTCAATCACAGATCCAATTTAAAACACATACATAATCAGTTCTGATGTCAGCAAACAAAATTATGAGGATAGTTTGGCGGATGGATATTTTATTTTTTGGAGAAATGACGACTCCTTTCAGAAACAGGTCTACTGCTCATCATTTGAATATCTAAACTGATTTTAAAAATATATATATATTTTCCTGGTGGAACAAAGCTTCCATAAGAGATGAATAAAAGACATTTGATCTAAAACAGCAGAAAAGGTGAAAGGCTAGATTAAAAAAGTAAATTGCAAATCCAATGCTTGTTATATCCTAATAATCTTACCTAGTAATTTGCGGTGATAGATAATTACAGCATTTTGTGCTGGCACGACATATTTGAGTCCACGTGAACCCGGGTGCAGCTCAGCTGACTCTCTCTTGGTAAACACAGGTTAAACGCAAACTTGCTGCAGGAGTCTCAGCACAGAGCGATGCATCCTGCTTCCTGTCATCCTGCCCTCCTCAGCAGACAGGCGCATCCTACTGCTCGTGCCTGAGCACACGGACTCATCTGAAGCCATGGAGCAGCATCCCAGCATCGAGACCAACACCACAGGGGAGGGCCGGGCCATGTTCCTGCGTGATTAAGGCAAGTGTCCCGACTGGATGTTTGTGCTGTGTGGTGTGTGTGGAGCAGATATGAAGTCTTTTATCTTCATACGGAGAAGGTCTCAGTCTGAGCTGATGAGGACGGGGAGCGCTGCGCTGCGTTGTGTGATCGCAGTGAACCTGTAGTGATGAAGATGGTGGTAGGGCTGGGTGGGGAGGATGATACAGTGAATCAGCGCTTCAGCAGGTGATGGTACAGACCTGATATGTGACACACGCCGTCCTGAGTCTTCCATGAACGATGACACGCCACGCGTCAGTCAATGGTCTCCTAAATGTTTCGCTTACTGAATAAAACACGAGCCGAGATATTCTACAGATTGAGACATGTCGTTAATTCAGATGAATAAACGGTTATTTTATTAAAACTTAAACTTTAAATAATATTTGGTCAGTTGGAAGGTCCTCAGCTCACTCACCGCTCTACTCGGTCCTTAAGTTAAGATAAATTCAAATTTAAAAGAAGATGGATATATTCTGTATCAGCCGAATTAAAGAGCAGAGCTATGAGACTGAATATGAATGCAGTTGGATGATTTTTAGGCGATGTGTACCTTCTGACAAGTAAAGGCGCCATAAATTGAGATTTTTTCCATTTAGTATGGTGGTGTGTGTGCCAACGCACCAAGAGCAATAAATCCTCCTTGAAGACGAACATCAAGTTCGGATCAATTGGTGTGGCTGATTGCGAGAGACGTGTGTGAGTGTAGAATTAGCAGGAGGCCTTTAATGACCTTGGATGAGGTTGTGGATTTTACAGTTTTCACAGTCAGGAATGTTTCATGTCCTGGAATGTGCTAGGCCAGAGCTGTAGTCTAGGGAAATCTGCAGCCTGGGAATTCCCAGCCTTCCCACAGGAGGTTAGTCAAACATTTATCATGTAGTGCTGTTTTAAAACAGAAATCAAGCACAGAGGCTGCACTAATATGAATTAATCAAACTAGTCTACTTCTTTCTGTACCCCTCCCACACCAAACTCCCCCAAAATCCCTATATTATCACAGTCCTGAACACATACTGTGTATGGAACACAGTAGGATATACATGTATATTAGCCTGTGCATCATGAAGGGAAAATTAAAGAAGAAAACATACTGTACAACACATGCACATTTTTCGTTAATTCATCTATACATTGTTTAAAAAAAAACTCCACAGTCACATTTGATCGTGTCAGTGCAGTTCTTTAAAAGGTGATTCAGGAAGACAATGATCTTAATCCCACTCAGAGATGGAGTGTGAATAGTTTTCATGTGTGTGCAAGTGGATCTGTTTGACCAGGAAAAGCAGGAGACATAATTATAATGACTATTTAGTTATGTTTGATAAGCAACACATTTATCCTTCCATTCCCCTGTCAAACCTGATTATTCCTGTTTGGTCATGGGCGGTGTGGAGGCTCTGCTACACTGGAGGATATCCCAACCACACTGAGAGGAAGGCAAGCAAAATGAACCTGAAAACCAAAAACCAGAAACACATTCACAGCTATACAGATTATTTGTTGTCAGTTCAGCTGAGACGTGTGAATCTGAAAGTATTGACAAGACATACCCATGAGACACAGAGGAACTAACCATACCAGGGGGACCTCTATGGTGTGTTTGTTTGATGTGGTCATGATCCTGATGAGCATATAGCATATACAGATAATTATTACATTACATTAACAGATGTAAGATTACATATCTTCTGACTGCCTGCACATTAATTAATTAATTATATAACCTCAAACACACCACAGACACTGGCTGCATCAGGTCACAGCACTGGTGTGGATTAGTGACTCATTTATTTGGGATCAGATGTGATGGTTACAGCACTGATTGATGTCAGAGGAAACTGTGGCTGTGAATGCAGAGTGAATGGATCTTTAACTCCATTCTTCATTTTACAACTTCATATTTATTGTTTTCTGTTGGGGAAGGATATGATTTTGCACAAACCAGTAGTCAAACACTGTTTTTGATGAGCAGCCTAATGCATCAGTAAGTTCAACAGCAGTCACATTTACATTTATACATGTTCCTTACTGATACCTGAATTTATGTATTGGCTGATACAGAATTCTGAGTATTGGCAGTTTCAGTCCTCCACATTTTTCTTTGTCTTTTTGAAGAAATAATTGAAGTTGGTTGGTGAACGTTGATGGGTGGAAAACAGTCTAAATATATATCAGGATATGCAGCTGTTTCTAGTCATATCGTTTGAAGTTTTCCTGTTACTTTAAACCATGGAGCTAAGAGAGTCGAGGGTCATTCACACTGAGGCTGCAGCGTCATCAATAAGATGGTCAGCTTGGGAGGGACTAGAGTTAGCAGAGGAGTCCTCTAAGATGTGGCACTGAATTAAATGCTGATGAGACTGAGACTGTCTTGTGTGCAGGGATGGTGATGACAGACCACATTTCTTGGAGGAACACAGTGTCTGAGAAGGAGCATCAAGTTGAATGATTGAGTTCAAGTAGATGGAGCAGACCCAGAAGTCTCTCTGAAGGCAGCTTTAGAGACTGAATCTGATTCAGGAGGTCATGGGTAGACGGTGGAGGTCGATGAGTGGCAGAGCAACATGTGACCTTTTAGTTTGATTGAAGACCAGACAGGCTGCTGCATTCTGGACCATCTTTAAGGGTTTGACTGTGTGAAGGGAGGTCAACCAGAAGAGCACTGCATTAGTCCAGGTGAGAGATATCCATGGTCTGGACTAAGAGCTGGGTGGACAACTGAGTCAGGTAAGATCTGATTTTTCTGATGTTGTATAGATCAAAGAGACACGACCAGGAGACGAATACAACATGGTCAGAGAAGGAGAGCTAGTCATCAAACATGACACCAGGTCGCTCTAGACTTTGGTTGGGGTCAGGGATGAAGAGGTGATTTTGATATTGATATCATGATGGAGAGACTGATTGGCTGGGATGACTAACAGGTCTTAGAGAAACTTCTCTAAAAGGTGGTGTTCCTTCATCCATGTGGATGTGTCAGAAAGACAGGACTAGATCTGCTCAGAGACAGTGGGGTCGTCTGGTGATAATGACAGGT